TCTACCAGTTGAACAGCGGGGAGATCTGGGGAAGACAACAGATCCGGGGAGGTAGTTTCAGTTGCACGGGGATAGTCCCTCATAGTCGTTATTCATCGATCCAAAGTTTAGGACGTGGTCCTGAAGGAGTATAAGTACTGGGTACACTCCATGTTTCTTTCATTTCATTACTTCACTCTAACTTGATATTGCTCTCCCCTGTTCTTCCCCAACAATACACTGTTTGTCATATTGCCTACATCACCATAAATGTCAACAAATATGTCTGCCATTCAGAAAGCAATCGAAGCTGGCGCAGTGGCCGCAAAGGTCTCGAATGTCTGCCCAGAAGGTACACGGATGTATCTGCTCGAGGTTGGCTGGCTCGAAGCCGACGATGGCTGGGTCGTGCGTGGCGCCAATACGAGCACAATGAGCACCCGAGACAAAAGCTTCGTCAACAAACGTCGCCGGTTGCCAATGTACTGCGTGTTGATTGATCATCCGCACGAGGGGCTCATCCTCTGGGAGACCGGGAGCGGCGTGGACTATCCCACCGTCTGGGGACCGGCCGTGGCGGATGTCTTCTCGCGCATCGAGTACAAGCCAGAGCACGAGCTCAAAGCCGCCGTTGAGGCCACGGGACACAAGCTCGAGGAGATCAAGAAGATCATCATCGGCCATCTCCACCTCGACCATGCGGGCGGGCTAGACCAATTCTTCGACCGGAAGGATGTCGAAATATGGGTTCATGATAAAGAGTTGAGGTCTGCATATTGGTCCATCGCCACCGGTGCCGACGACCTCGTATACCTTAAGCATTACATGAGGTACGGATGAGAGCTTTCTTTCTCCTTTATTTCACATCCATGATCACTGTTGAACCGTTTCCGCTCACGAGTATATCAATCAGGCTCGACCTCAACTGGAAGGTTTTCGACGATCGGACCTTCGACTTCTGCCAGGGCATTACCCTGCACCACCTGCCGGGACACACAGACGGTAATCTCGCCCTAGATTCCATCCATAGCGCTAACAACCAAAGCTTCCTTAACGTAGCAAGGCTGATACTCATCTCGTTCAGGTCTCATCGGGCTCCAGCTCAATCTTTTGGACAGCGGCACTTTCTTCTTCGTCAGCGATCATTGCCATGTCATCGAGAACGTGAGTTGGTCCCTTTCTTCCGATCCATCAATAAATGGGAGTACTGAATCTAACCCTTCCCCATTTGATAGTGGCGTGATGGGATCCCGCAGGGCTGGCTAGCTCGTGATCATCCAGCATGGTTCAATAGCACTCAGCGCCTGAAGCAGCTCCAGAAGATAACCAAGGGAAGAGTCATCCCTGGCCACGACGAAGGGGTCTTCCTGCAATTACAAGCGGAGGTCAAGGTCAAAAACTATCTTACCTGAGATGGAACGGTATGAGTACACCGGTGCAGTGTAGAGCCTCTTCGAAACGACTCGAATAGGATAGCAGGGGTTGCAGAGCCCGAGGACGAGGGTATTGCCTGAAGGAGGTACTTGGTCGTATTTTGTCTGCAACGTAGAGCACCGTGAGTGGATAAGGCAGAGCGACCTAGCCCAAAGTAGGTGGACTAGTCCTAGGATAGTAAAGCCTAATCGGCTTAGCCAATAATCATTGCAGTTAGGATCCAGTTAGCCTGCAGTCCGGCAGCATGAGAGGGAGCCTCGGCCCCGGAAATTCAAATTCCGGATGGGCGAGTCCACCAAGTGTCTCTGCCTCATTCATGATATCCTTCCGCCCCTGTCAAACAGAAGTGGACTGTTGTAAGAACCAGACCCAATAAATGCACATGGAGACAGTCCAGATGCTAATCACCTCTTCAAAGCAAGGCACGGCATCACCATGACCCTCGAGGGGTTCGGACGGCTTTATCTGTCCCCTCTCGATTGAGTCGGAGCAAATCTAAGGACGACTCTCAGAAATCTTGGCCCAATGTAAATTTCAGATACTTCAGTGCTCTGACAGGTGTCTCTTACGCTCCACATCATTGTTAATTGTTTTGTTTGGTTGATACGCCGCAGGTGGTTCAGGTGCTGCCAGCGTGTAAGTGGATTCTCCAATCCGCCAGAGCCCAACGGGATGCTTGAAGGTGCAGCTTTATAGCAGTGGAACATTGTTCTCTTAAGGGAACCTGTTTTGACTCTCTTCGGGTCCACAGGAGAATTCATGCCCGGTCTATGTGCAGACTCCTTTTGAGTCAGAATTGAGCTTATTCGGCACCTGGGCAATACATTTCTGACTGTCCTCTTCGATATTTTAGTTGGTGCGACTCAACATCTGGCATCACTCGCTAACACCCCTTCTTCCTCTATCCTAGCATTTGATCAACATTCGAGATACCGTTACAATAACTTTGCTCCATTGTTAATAGGCATGATAGGTTCAAGCGATCACTGTTCGCCTCGGAATAATGGAGGAATTGCTCAGCTCTGTATATTGTAGTAGGGAAGAGTACCCCAGCGACTCCATCCGCGCAAGGCTGTGATGATTAAGTGGTTTTATTGCGTAGAATACAAGTGTTGGCCCAGACGGCGCGAACAGCGGCTGGCCGACATCCGCCACGCATGTCCGAGGAAACTCGGAAGGCCACTAGCCCCTCATCATTCCCATCCCCGATTCCCCGTACGGAACGTCGTGTGGGGTTCAGCACTGGCTCCGTCATCAACCGCGCTGCTCTTCATTGTCGGAACTCTCGAATCTGCAGGGAATAACTCAAGTCTGGATCTTGCAGCTTGCAGTCTTGTTTGCCCTGCCTAGATCAACGCCCGAATGAGACAAGATGCGAAATGTTGCCGGCGAAAGTTCAGAAGCACGAAAAATCACCCGCGCAACGGTAGCATGCGCCGCATGCCGCCAGAAGAAAGTCAAGGTAGATGCAAGCGCAAAAAGATAGCCACACAGTAGGAGCTGCCACTAATGTCTGAAAGTGTGTTATAAGCGAAGGTGAAGAAGCATGTACTTCTTGTCGGGATCACAAATTGGAATGCATCATTCTGAACGATGATCGCCGCAAACAGTGAGACCACCCCCGAACGGATCGTGGCCGTGGTTGGCTGACAGCGAATGATAGTAAGCTGTCTCGAGCGTATGTCAATGTGTTGCAAGATCGCATTCGGCATCTCGAGTCGTTTGTTCAACAAATGGGGCATCAAAACCCCGTGGTGGTCGGGCCAGCCAACAATGATCAGGAGCCGCCGCCGGCCAGTGACGAAGACGTGTCACCAAGTCCGCATCTAGAGCCGCTTCGCGAAATATCCTTTGAAATGCCAACAACGGGTGAAGAGCCTCTACACTCGGGAGGGCTTGATGACTGGAGAGCAAGCAATGCCGACCTATTACTTGGAGACGAGTCGTTGCCGTTATCTCAAAGCACAACCTCCCAAGAGGAAGATGTGCTGCTGGAGGAAGCTTACTGGTCGGGCCAAAACGCAGTGTTTCCTCTGGTGATAAAGCCTTTGTTTATAGCCGACCGAGCATCAAAAAGGCCTCGATACTACTCACGAGCGCTTCAGATGTGCATGATTGCGATAGCAGCCCGCTGTTCTAGCGCTGTTAGCTCCTCGCGACAACGTCAACTTCACTCGACAGCACGCCAGAAGCTCCGTGTCGAAGACAATCAGGACAACAGTCTGGCAAGCGTGCAAAGTCTTTTGTTGTTCGCAGATCTAGAATGCGCCATCGGGAACTTGGCGCAAGCCAGCACACTCCACTGTAAGGTTCCCACTCTGTGAGCCACCTGTTCACGGCTCAAATATCCTTGGAATATCCCAAGCTAACCTCACCTCGTTCAGTCAAAGCAGGAGAGACGTTGAATCAGATGCTCGGGATGTCGATTACCCTACCTGCAACAACCTCGCCGCTGGCTCAGGAGGCCATCTGGCGCACGGTAACTTTCTATACCGTCACCTCTCAGTGCGGACTTGCCACTTGAACCAGGAAAACCATCGCGTGTTTTGACTGATCTGATCTTAGGCTTTGGTATATCCTCGACAACCCAAGACCCTGTCGACCGCCAGGACAACACGAGCACATCGAGAAGTTCCTGTCCAAGGAACTGCCGCAACAGGGACCTTATGACGCATATTCTCAGTCAAGGGTATCCATCCGTGATATCTGGGTCGACTTGATGCGGATTTCCACAGCGGCCATTACCCTAGAGCGGTCTTCGATGTCAAATACTGACCGTACACTCGAATTGGAATCGTTAGCTAGATTGGACGCAGAATGCCATGACTGGTACTGTGGGCTTCCGTGGGATTTGAGATGCACGTCAAAGAGCCGGTCTCCGCCTCCGGCAGAATTCTTCGCATTATTGTAAGTCTTTATTCACACCGGATGGACGTGTTTGCGGTGTTATTCACTGCGCACGGCGCCTGCCGCAGCAAGAACCCCTGCCTGACGAGAGAGACTTCTTCCCCTGGAAAGAAAACGTGCTCACTATTTGTTCAGAATGTGTTACCATTCCACGCTGATCGTCTTACATCGGCAAAAGGCGGGCTATCGCATGACTGATACCAGCGTGGGTGAAGAGTCCTTCTCGCCGGCAACACCGCTGTCGTCCATTTCTCGATCTATATGCTTGAAGAATGCGGTCAGACTATCTGAGGTCCTTAGCCACTACCGGCAACGCTATCAACTGTCTCACTTGGGCCCTCGGGTAGTCTTGTTCCTTGGGGTTGCATCAGCCACACTGGCCGCGGAAATCTACGACGTGGAGAACGGACCCGAACGGGAGTCAGAGAAACAGCACCTTTCGTCCCTGTTGGATGCTTTCAAGGACATTTCGGAAAATACGCAGCTGGCAGAACAGCCAGCGAGGTTGCTCTCCAGATTCATAAACACCCCAGCAGTGCCAGAGTGGAACTTAGACTTGGCCGCGGACACAGACTTGTTGGCTCACCTAGCGACGCCTTTCACGGATCTGAGCAATTTAGAACAAGGAGGGCAGTTTCCCTAGCCCAGAAGCAATTATATCTAAAGTGACAAAGTCTCATCTCGACCGCATCTCCGTCCCCCACGATTACGAACGTATACGACAGCTGTGGAAGTTGTGCGAGGCTCGCCAATACCTTTTCGCCACTTGTCTCTACTCGAACATTACATAGTCATTTTACATTTTCTCGTCGCTGGAAAGAGACAAGTCAACTGCCCCGGCCACAAGATCCAGGATTTCTGAATCTTCCTCTTCGCCCGGAGAAGCCACAGGCTTCGCATGCGGAATGCGGACATCGGGGCCCGCGGATCGGGCCCGTTTCGTGGCTCGCGAGGGAGAATGTTGCCCCTGGTTTGATATGAGGCTTGAGACCCAGCTTAGAAGGCGGTACGTGGGTTGGACACCGCAGAGGCGCTCGGCCAAGGCATTCAACGAGATCATAATGTCCGAACGCTGGTTAACGCTGAGACACGAAGATTTCCCCCCAGTAGCATGCCAGTCCAGCTCACATACGGCCAGAGGCAGGGCGATCCAGGCGGTACTAATGGTTTTGTGACAGACCCCCGTTAGCCAAGGTACATGACGTGTGGGTTCACTCTCATGTGCAGCAGAAAAGCCTGTATTGTACTCACATGGCAAGTGGGACATGCTCGACTCTGCTTTCAGAGAAGATCTTGTATACTGTCTTTACGACTTTGGCAGATGCTTCCTTCACCTTTGCGGCTGCCAGAGTGCGGAATTGCGTTCCAAAGCGGGATTCTGGTTGAATAACCTTCAAGTACGGTCGATAGAGAGCGGCAAAGAGCGAACTATGTCCACTGTCAGCAAACAGACGAAATGGTCAAAGGGCTCGACGTATAGAGGCAGTTGAAGCTCGACGTACAGGTTGACCAGCTGCGGCATGCGCAATGGTACCTTGCTCATGTCTACGGACTCCCGAGCCATGGCACCGGCCATGTCTTGTTTGAACCTGACTTTCCACTCCTTGAGTCGAGATTCATAGGCCGAACACTGCAACATTTCGTCCAGCAGCAAGTCGTGGTCTGAATCCCCAGATGAGGAGACATCGCGCCATTCCCGCTGGAACTTGCGGTCCACGTGGAACGTGCCGATGTCGTTGATCAACTGCGTCAGATCGCACATCCAAATGAACGCCGCCATCATGATCCGCTTCGATTCCGCCCCCATGAACTGCGGCAGGACGGCTTCGGCGCCAAAGTCCATGGTTGTGACTGGTCCCCAGCGCGATTCGACCTTGTGCAGGCGATGGAGGCGTCGGAGCCCGACACTGACCAGACGGTCCCGCAGGACGCAGCACCACCAGATGATCTTGCGCCGCGAGAACATTGTGCCGCTGTCGTAGTCCGGATCCTCCAGCCTGGCTTGCCTGGCGTGGAGAAAGGCCCGGGCCACCCAGCGAGAGTTCACCTGGGTGTCTAGGTTGAAGGGGCTCCAGTAGCTAAGCAACACGCAGACGCAGGTCAGGGTCGTGGGATTCGTCGAGGTGAAACTGTTGTTGTACAGTGACTAGATACCACATCTCAGGTATTTAACAGCCATATTCTCACTCCCCTCCGGATCGAAGAAGAATCGTTGCATGCACACATACCTTGACGTGCCCGAGCAATGCGTTTTGGCCTTCAAGGATGGTCGAGACGGAGCTTTTCGCCAGCTCTGACTTTTCCACGTGCTACGTGCAGATGTGAGAAGCTTCGCATTGGAAAGGGGAGAGAAAGGTTGGGCTTCTGCCAGAGCAAGGGGGCTCAACTGACCGCAAATCCCACAAACATCATAGCCATGAAGAGCATGACGTCGAATCGGAGGAATAAATCTCTTTCCCGTCTGCACTCACGGTATATTTTGGCAAATTCGTACTCATCCACGACCGGACAAAGGGGGTGAACGTGGCGGAAATACAACACCACGACCTTGTCGCGCAATTCCTTCGGTAGTAGTCGTCCAAGTTCGCCGATCAAGGTCTCAGGAACCCTTGTAAGAACACGCGGCTCTGCCGGTTCAAACAGTTCTGCGTTGGCCGTCGCAACGGGAAGGCCTTCGCCGTAGGCGTAGCCTGGTTGGTGATCCTCCAGACAGACGATAGATTCACTTGATGGCGTGGACGCGTCCGAGTTGGTCTTGCAAAGCGATAGAGCCGTGGTCATGTCGATTCCTGTTCGTCAGATGTTAGGGCCCGGGGCCGCAACGACACAAAAGGTGGACAAGAGCAGAAGCAACAACACAAGCGTACCGGGGTCAGAGAGGAGGGCCCTGTGTGCTCGATCTGCCTTCAAGTTCACCTCCCGCGCCGGCCTGGCTTCAGCAGGGAGTTGGAACAACGACTGCTCGAGGCCGTCCTCATGGCCGTCACCGTCCCAGATCCATCCGAGTTCTTCAGCGCACAGCCATTCTTCGTCCTGTGCAGGTTCATCTCGCTGGCATAGGGTCCCTGGAGATACTTTGCGTTTGTTCCCGTCAGTGGATTCGAGCAACGCACAGAGCTCCACGGCCCGTGTGGTCGATGATGATGGTATGGATGGATCTGGGTTCTGGATGGTGGGTACTTACCAGTCTCGTGGGGCCAGCCTTCCATTGCAGATTCGAGCCGTCTGGCACGAGTCCTACAACTTGGGCTTTTGTCCCAGCCAAGTTGAACAAATTTGACCGTCTTGCACTTTTTACATTGGGTTGTAGGTGAAACCTGGTGCCAGGTGTTGATCCGAAGATAACCGCTGCGCTGTTATGTGTAGATCTGCCTATCACGACGGGGGAACGGAACATCGAGTTTGGCTACGGCAAAGTCCCCGTTGCACGGCGTGGGGGCCAAAGCTATTGATTTCTCCAATTCTGTATAGCACTGAGTTTCTTGGGTTCATTCTACGCGCCGTGGTAGTCATCTTCATTGTAATCATTAGGTTCATCTGCTCAAATAGGTATACTACTATTTACTTGGTACTGTCCCCGGGCTCAGCAGGCTCGACCACGAGGCTCTTATCTGGATATTGGGTTATCGTTTTCACCGAGGGCTGTGCACATTCGGCTTGCAGATCCTCCACGACAATAGAGCCGTCCTCGGCCTCGGAAAGAGTGATCTGCTTCCAGCCCTGAGTTTTGAGCCAATCTTTTGTTGAGCGGCTGCTATCAGGTCCTTTGTCAGACTTATCCGTTGCTGACGGCTTAGTGTAGAGTTGTGAGGTGGCGAGGCGCCCTGGTGACGTCCGGTCAAGATATCTGCGCATCTTCGTGGTGCCGGCTCGGCCCAGACACAAAACGACCAGCACAGCAATCAAGACGCACAGTGTCCCGAAGGCTGTCATTAGCGCCGGGATGCCGTAGACCATGTGGTACCTTACACGACGCTCGTACACGGTCACCGGAACCAAGAGGGCCGCATCGTCTGGCGAAGAGCTGCCGTCGCGTTTCTGGAGGGTTTGCTGCGGCAGCGGCGGTTGCAAACTTTTCGTCCCAACGACCGAGTTAGCCGCCACGTCGGTCCAAATGAGATTCAATATTCTGGCGGCGTTGGCAGGGGTGCGAGACAGATCTTGCCAGAGCCTGTACATGGCCAGATTGGTTTTGCCAGAGTAGTCGGCGGTGCTGTCGCCTGCGTAGGTGGAGATGGAAAAGAGGGCCCCAAGAGCGCCGACGTGGAAATCGACGCCCGGTAGGTTCTGATAGCCAACGGTGAACGGACCTGAGGCCCCTCCGCCAACATAGCCAGGCAGATAAAGGAATTCTTTTCGCAAAGTCGTGACACTCACGTTGCCTTGGTCCGGTCTTGACAGAAGACCCCACAGGATGTTGACGTCGGCGAGTATCTGGTCTGTCTTCTCGACCCCCCACAGCGGCTTGGAAGACTCGTTAGGGTATACCTTGTCAGATATGCCAGTGACGGCCAGCGCAGAGAGATCGTCGCTTCCGTTAAAACGGAAGGTGACAGTCTTGATCCGTGCTCTCGATGTGGAGATGCACGAGTACAACGGGATAGTCCATTTCGAACCGGGTTCAAAGACAACGGACTCGCTCCCGTCTCTTCGTCGCGGCGCTCCGTAAAGGAGTCCACAAGCAGCGGCAAAATTGGTGATGTTCGCAATATCTTGGCCCCCAGCGCCTTGACAAAGAAGTTCTGCTTTTGTTACTGAGCGAACAAATGAAAATTGAAGGATTTAGACTTACCGGCACTGGAAAAGTTGGATGAAGTGACTCCAAACGGATTTGGATATAGCGGTGGAACTGATGGAATGTCGGATGGCGAGGTAAAGTTGAACAGGGAACTGGTATTGTCATATATTCCCGTTCCCTGGTCGAGACCATTTAGGTAGTATCCATAAAGGCTGGACGAAGTGAGGAAATCAGGACCCAGAGACGATGCCATGCCCAGAATCCCGGTTGAATTGGGGCTCATGAGAGGGAATGTCTTTCCGACATGAGATTTGAGGTACTCAAAGGCATGGGAGCCGGGATCGCTTTGGTTGGCAAAGTTTGTCACGTTCATGAAGGCCATGGACCACACGTTGTTGATCCAGGCTGCCTTGTATGCGCGCAAATAGAGGTCTGGGTTCTTCTGTGTATCTCCCCGGTCCCAAACCGGGTATTCCTTGATGAGATTGGCAAAACCCCCTCGATCTGTCAGCACCAGGTCTGAGACTTGATATCCAGAGGTACTGGAAATAGGGATAGTGAAATCCAGGGTCAGATTCGTATCGACACAGAGCGATTCCGGCTCAACAAAGAGGAGATCTTCGGACCATGTGCTTCCAAATGGCGACACGGGCGGCGCACTGTGATTCCTGAAGCCGATTCCACCATTCTTCATGTCCACCACGAGGCCCTCAATGGCAATGTAGTCATCATCCAGCACCATGGTCGAAATTTGTCGGAAGGCGCTAACAGGGTACGACGATCCATTATCTGGTGCTAGTGCACCAGGGTTGTTGTTGATTTGAGACCAGGTGTATGATCTTGACTGGATGTCAAATATGCTCGAGACAGATCTGTTCTGCGTCGAGAGGCCGCTTTCGAATACATCAATGACATATTGATGCACATGAGAGTCGTAGTAATCGGCTGACCAATATTCTCCTGTCGCATTTGTGATATAAGTTATGGTCTGAGGGGAGTTCGGACAGTTCGCAGGACTGAACCCTCCGCATATGCGACTCCAAGGAAGGTAGGTCCTGGGGGGAGTTCCGTACCCAAATTCGGATTTATCAGCGATATAGTGGAAGACGGATGCGGTTTCTCTTTGGCTCGAGAGGATGTCTTGGTATAGACCAAGTGGTGTTACAATGGCAGCAACACCGATCAGAATGGTGAAGAAAGTCTTCAGTGCCGCAATGGTCACCACGCGCGCAGGGACTTTCGAGGTCGCAGCAGTGTCTCCTGAGAGAATAGTTGGCCAGTAGGAGGAATGCAGGAATCGACCGACAACGGACCTAGCAAGGTGATCAATTCAAACTTTTCGTATTGGGCAAGCAGTGCTTCTACGTACCACCCAACTGCCGATGTAGTTGCGGCGGAGTTCTTCTCTTCGAGAAGTCCAAGAAGAATGACTGGCAGGGCCGTGGGAACGAATAGCTGAACTGAATATAGCAATTAGTGATCTGCGACTCTCAGTTGAGGCCAGGTCATGCTGCCTACCAACAAAGATGGCCGCAGCAATGATACCAGACACGTAGCCGACAGATATATTGTTGAGATTGATCATATTGACAAGATTGAAATCAACAATCTCAGCCGGTTCTTGCAAGGTGGGATCCTTCGCAAGAGCTGGATGAGCATCCAGGTCAATGGAATGACATTCAAATCACCAAAAAGCCTCCAGCCTGGAGAAGGCGTCGAAGAACCATATTTCAGCACTCGGTATATCTCAGACTTGTCACGAAGCACGATGTCCCCGTGCCCAGGTACATATATTGCAGTGCCCGAGGTGATCGACAGCTGACCAATAACTGGTTCCAACTCAATGGGAAATCCCGAATACGAGTGCTAGTACACCCGCCGGTTGAAGCCGCTGTTTTAAATGAGTAATCTAGACCGCAGAAGGTGTTGGGGGCCAGAAGCTTGTCCCACTGGCTTGTCGATGGTTAACTTTGGTGTCCCTGTGTGCCTGGGCGCTTGGAGGGGTTACACGAATGTTGCTAGGTTGCCTGTTCGTCACTGTTTCGTGTTGCTGTCCTGCTATGCTACAGACTTTCAAAGAGGACTCCGATGTTGAGATATCAGCTGGTGGCATCTTGCATCCTTTGCTGGCGTGCGCTGATCAAAGGCAGGCCAAGAACGACAGCGATGTCTCCCAAGACTTGATGAAACACGTCGAGCTAACTTTTACCAGGGTATTCCATGAAGGTTCAACTTTTCCCCTGATGGCAATGGGTGCGTGATACTTGGTGAATTTATCTATTTGGCCCAGGTGTTACGGTCGAAAGAAGCGGGAGAGGCACTCTTGGGTAACTCTGCCTTGTCTAGGAGCTGCTAAAGATGTGTCGACAGGCTACACCGGCCCCAAACTTACCATCGCAAGCATGTACGCAGCTACGCCCCCTAGCCTCAACTGGATGTTCTGCCTGCCTAGCCCAAAGCTCAACTCAATTTGATCTCGATGGCTTTTACTGGCGCATTCACACTGTCAACCAAGTATTGCAGAAATGCCCTGAAATGGATAAAGACACAGCCTAGAGCTAGGAGCGCTACGCCTACTTGTATTACCAGAGGTAGAAAACGTTCCATCCGCAATTCGTATCTGTCAACCTTCCCCAGCCCGCTTAAAACTTCCAATATCGAGTATTTGTCCAGATTTCATTTGATCAATTGCGTGGAATCGAATTTGCTTCCCCAGATTACGACCGTTTCAGGCCTCCATTTGCGAGACTTAAGCGAGAACATGAGAAATGGTGTGCTAGAGACTAAACACACGTAAGGCACGGGTACGCGAGCCGGGGGACACTGGGGACTTGAGAGGTTAAAGCAATCTAGATCTCGGACTAGGCAGCCTGGAGCCCCTGCGAGGAGTGAGGCTAACTCTGAGGCTACGCGAGGCAGACTTGGGGTGCTCAGGTCACAAAATGACTTGACTAGGAACATCTTTCTCCAAGGACCACTCTTGGGCGTACACTGCATATGGCAAGATACGTGTTTCGTCGCCTGGTAATCTAGGTACCTAGAGGTGTGTCTTTTCCGCAAATAGAGACAAAGACTCGAGATCTGGAACCAGTGACTCCGCCAATGACACGCAGTGCTCGAGAACCAAACCTCAGTTCGTGATCACCTCCTTGCTTGGTCCTGGACGCTCGACACTCGACAAAGGAGAAATCGGTGAGAACGTGGTAGGCGCATTTTCCGCTCAGTAACTTTTCGGGCTCACTCACTGGTAGTGCACAGATAATCTGGAAAGAAGGTTGTAATAATCTGCCTTGACATTTCCATTTGATCCGATTAACGCAAATGGCCAATTCCGGCCCTAGATCCAAAGACCAACAAGGTCCAGAGGACTCTTTTTGTGCTATCCCTCACCATTTTAAAAGAGACACATTCCATGCCAACATCCCCCCCAGCTCCTTGCCTATTTCAGAGTCCTCGAATAATCCGTAATAGAAATACTCAATGCACTTTTCAGTCGAGACACCTTCTCAGGATCTGCGTGTCTGTGAGATCTCAGATCATCAATTACCACCTTCTCAGGATCTGCGTGTCTGTGAGATCTCAGATCATCAATTACCACCTTCTCATCTTACCCCCCGGCATCAGATGGACACAGCGCAATCATATCGGGAGCCAATTCAGAGTCCACCGGCTACACAGACAGAAGGCTCCTCATGCACGGCGTATCTTACGAACGTCGTTTGTCCTTTGGAATGGGAATACACCAAGTCTCCAAAAGAGTGCTCAGCGAGACTAAACATTGGGAGGTGGTCCTCGGGTGGAAGGTCAAACACACAGCGTGGTTGAAAACACAAGATCAGGGTCCCTCGTTCGCCAATTTCGTCCATGTGTTCGGGGATCAGATGATGTGGCATCCTCACGCACCCCAACACGATCATTGCACAGTATTTCAGCCAATGCTCTGCTAGACGACTTGGAGGCCGAAAATTAGGGCCAGGGAGGCTCTGTTGGTATAATTCGTCCAGACCAGCAAGGTCTCGGTGCCCCAGACGAGCTGTGATGTCGCGAATCTCGAATTCGGCGAGAGTAGGTGTCCGCTCGTCGAGTTCGTCGGTTGTCCATTCGTCTAACAAGCCAAAGGAGATACGTAGACGTTGGACACGTTGCAAATTCGGAAGCATGCGCTCTTGGGTGAAGAGCTCGTGTTGTCCGTACGTTTCAAGGCTGAAGGTTGCAAAACGGAAAAACGTGCCCTGAGCCTCGGCATAGACTTGGCGACAGACTAGGAAGATGCTGAGCGCATCCAAGAGTGGGATCGGATCATTCTCAACTTTCACGGAAGACTTTGTATCGGCGGATGAGTCTGCTTCGGCTGGCGGCTGACTGTGAGATGATATTTCGCTGACAGAAGACTCTCTTGCATCGGGCGGCTGGAGCAGAGACCATATGGGAATGGCTGGTTCGGATGTTGACGACTGATTGTGAGGTGATATTCCGTTGACAGAAGGCTCTGCTGCATCGTATGGCTGGAGCAGAGACCATATGGGAATTGCTGGTTCGGATGTTGGCCACTGACTGTGAGATGATATTTCGTTGACAGAAGACTCTACCGCGTCGTACGGCAGGAGCAGAGACGATATGGGAATGGCCGGTTCGGATGTTGATGACAGACTATAAGGTGGTATTTCATTATCATCAGATGCCTCTACTACTGGAGAGACGACGAGGCCGTCGAAAAGAAGAGCATAGATGTGGTCACGGATCTCCAACGGGAGGCTCAGAAATGATGCTCCCTGAGAGCCGTTGCTCTCTGACTGCTGTTCCTGATTGATAGCTATACTGCTCATGATGATGGTGGTGATGGCGGTGATGGTGGTGATGGCGGTGATGGCGGTGATGGTGGTGATGGCGGTGATGGTGGTGATGGCGGTGATGGCGGTGATGGTGGTGATGGCGGTGATGGTGGTGATGGCGGTGATGGTGGTGACGTTAGGAGGAGTAATTGTGGGCGGGATGGGCAAGACGGATGGTGTTAAATGGCGATGAAGCTCGAGTCCATTGCCCCCCCCCTCACCTTGCCCCCCTTACACCGCTTGTTATTAGTAGCCAATCGATGATGTAGCTGGGGCACCCGCAAAATCGCGGGGCAGCGAATGGGGAGCGGATAAGGCTCGACGAGGCTGACAAGGCTGCATAGAAGTTTTCGCTAACCACCGGCAAGGGATTCCGAATCGCGCCAATGCTACTCCGTACTGATATCCTATTGCTCGATCTAAACTAACTATATCTATTTAGCATTGTGCTTCTCGGATAATGATGTTCCCCCACCAGCAGCATTTCGACAACCCTTCCTCATACTCCTCCATTGTCTGTTACTCTCGCATTACCCTCTACTTCACCTGACCAGCCCCCAAAATAGCCTTCAACACCCAAAACACAGTTCTTACAATCCACCCAAGAATCCCCAATAACCCTAGCACCAGCCCCAACAGCCGGAGGGCTAACGTACTCAACGCGGCAAAGACAATCAAATAAAGCAGACTCCTCCCCACATCCAGCACAAATCCACCAGCCGTCTCCCCTTTATCAAGGCGAAGCTTGATCTTCCCGGTCTTGGAGTACACAAATACCATCGCCCACAGACGCCATCCCGTCCTCATCATGAGTTGGGCCATGACCCAGCCTCTCTGAGCCAGTTTTTTCCCCAAGGGAAGAACTTGAGGGTGATTGCGAACCCACATCTTGCCGGCTTCAAGGGGTATGAGAAGCACATCGCCAATTGCAGCATAACTGCTACAAGAGGCTAGGGACAAAAGACTCGGGACTTGCAGGTCGATGGTCGTGACGCTCGCGCCGCTGAGATTGCGTCTTTTGGTCGAACCATCCTTACCGGAGTTGAAGCAGGAGATCGCGGAGCCAAGAGGTGTTGGAACGCGGACCCGAGACCCTCCGCTCGCGGCGCGGTGATATCGGGCCCTTTCGCTGCCAATGCGTAAAGGGATGCCGGTCCCGATAATGGGTAAGCTTGAACTTCTCTGTCTTCTGTGCATAGTGGGGCGAGCCGCAGCACCTTTTCGTTGTGATGGCCCGGTGGCACTAAATGCTGCTGCCAATGTCTCTTTCGTTTCTTTCTGCGATGGCGCTTCCATCGCGCTCAATGCTGCAGCTACTGCGTCAGGCAGCCGTTTGATTGAGTCGCAACGGGGGTCTATGACTGATGTCAGGGGTTGCATTGTCAACTCAACAGAGGCAGCCTTGGACAAAGCTGCTTGAATATGATTGCCGGGCTTGGGTGCCTCTACCTTGTGCGACTTCTTCTGTACAGTCTTGACGGCAGCCAGCCGCGTGGTCTTGCTCCTCTCCTGAGCCTTTTTATCCCTTATGTCTGCTTGCGTTTCTGGTTCACTAGAACTGGTTGAACTTGGGACTTCTGACCAGAGGTTCTCAATAGAATTAGATGCCCATGTTGGGCTGGGATGACCGAGACAACCTTCATGACAATCGAGTTTGCAGCATTCGGGGCAGCAGATGGTATGATCACGCTCATCGACGACATCGACGTTCTGTTGCATGTGGCTCGTTATCTTGCGTTGAATTTCTATGTTTTCTTGCGCAGCTGTATCCTGGGGTAGTTCTGGAAGTGGGCTTCCTTTGGGATGCAAAGCTTTAGTACCCACGTTTGCTTTGTCGAAGTCCTTCTGGGGGGCGGATGTAGGGATGACACTATCTGTATTGTGAAGCTTGGCGTCCACGAATCCATGATTGCAATGGCTGCATCTCCTCATCAGGCCAAGATCGCTGGAGCTCATTTCTGTGCGGTCGGGTGGTACGTCGTTGAACGTTATGGGTCCTTGGAAGGGTTGTAGGCGTGGTTTCAAAGGCTTCGGCATGAGGTTCGTCTCCGGCATGAGGCAACCTTCTCCTGCGATTTTCTCCACGGCCGATGGCATCCGTAGCCATTGAAGCTTTGGGTCTGTCAACTCTGACCGAGCCGTTGGTGGCCCCATTCTGGGCACGACGTACATCCCTTCGGCTCTCGTGAGCAAGGGGGGTCGGCCCATTTCCCTGGGCCTGATCCTTGGCATTGGGATTGACATGATGGCATCGGCATTCATATTCGTGGTAGTGTTCATGATAATGTCTGTGTCGCCGGGAGGAGGTGGTTTCAGGCGGAAACCACGTTGGCCACGGTTCAACATCCATTGATCGGGCGGCTGAGGTCTTACGGCCACGCGGAGTGGCCTTTCGAGACGGCGCGCGCCCATGGATATGTCTGTGGGAATGGTAGTGGTACTCGACAACGGATCGAAACCTTGTCTCATTCTGTTGAGCAACTTTGTTTCCGGCGGAGATAGGGCTCGTGGCCCTTTGACCCTGGGACCAGTCGTCTGCGTCAACGGCAATAGGTGCTTCGGAGGGTTGTCGTACTCTGGGATTGGCATCACTCTCTCCCCGATGGGTTTGATGTGTTTCGCTGGGGGGGGGATCGGGTACATTGGCTTCCGCGTGCGAATGTATGGGTATACCAGATCGCCTCCCCTCGGACCCTGGGGGGCTGCGGAGTACGAATTTAGAGGTCCTGTCATGCTCATTCCGTTCTCTCCCTTCGGGGTAGTCGGATACGGTAACTGTTCCGGCATCGACTGGGATAGGCCACTGTTCATCGGCAGACATGGTAGTTCTTTTTCGACTGTATGACGGCCAGAGATGTTTGAGGTTTTTGAATTTTGGACGTCTGCTTGCTGGTCCGTCTTGAGGACCCCTAAAAAAGGGTCGTCTCCAGTTTGACTTCCAGTGTCTGAGCTGCGGGTGGGAATCCTCGGCAGATTCTTCTCGACAGGTTGGGGTCGGAACAAGCGTCCTTTTAGAGGATCAGGTGCCGAGGAGGATCGAGTCTCGCCGCTGAATATGGGATTCTTTCGGACGGTGTCCGTGCTTCCGCTCGTACCTCGCTGAGGATGTGAAACTAGCTCTGCGGTGCTTCTACTCGGAGGACTCCCAACAGGCTTCCGCTTAATTGCGCTGTTGAGCTTTATATTGTCTTGCAAATTGACTTGTTCGACGCCACTGTGAACGCCTTCTGGTTCCATGCCAACTCCCGGCGCATTCTGATGCAGTGGGACTGTCACTGCAGGACCGTAGGACGGGTTGACATTGTGATCACTTTGCACACCGCCATGGTCAAGTAATGAAGCTTTTCTCCCATTGGTCGCAAGCTTCTGTGGAGTCCTGAGGGTTTGGTATTGATGTTCCAGAGGTTCATCTGTCACGGACGCTGATAGAGGCGTTGGCTCATCTAGATCCAAGCTAATCCACTGGTCTCCTCTTTGCCGCCATCGACTCGAGGGACCTTGACGTCCGATCCTTGACAAGTCGTTTTGATTCCGATCAATGGAGCTGCTAGCGCTGTGCGATCCAGGTGTGACTACTCCAGTCCGGGGGTTTGCGCCACGAGCGAGCAGGTAGTCATCGCTGCTGACAAGGCGATGCATCTCCGAGCAAGTCGCAGGGCTATCACCCTGCGCTTTCTTCAGCGGCTCGATATCCACTCTAGACTTCTTAGCTTCTTGACTTGAGTAACCGCCGACAAAGCCACGAGCTCGGCGGCGTGAGTGACCCGAGGTAACGTGTGCAGCATCGAGCTCCGGTGCAGTGTTCAATCCACGCGATCGCAAATCTCGCTGGAAGTGAGACTCTCCATCGAATATCGATTGGCATTCGGCACTCTGCTCTACTGAGGTGCGTAGTCGCTGGTCGTCGATGCCGTCACAGTAGAAATTGGTGCATTGTTTCCCTGGGTCTTGGTCACAGGTAATTTGATCGTAGCAAAACTTAGAAGTGTGTCGTAATGAGCGCTGATGTCTGAAGGGACTGCCTTCTCCTTTCTCTGGTGAGGTCTGCTTCTTGATGGTGAATGAACCTATTGAGGATGAGAATTTGTGGGCAAGACGAGAGGTAAAAGAGGGTGAAACTTCAGGGGAAGAATGTGGATGCTTCCCAGGCATCGTGGGAAACCGGAGATGGTTGCTATGATATGTACTTCATACCATATACTGGTCTGTGCACCAGGCGTGGTTTGGAGGACGCCATGCCACATGGCCGGTGGTATTTTGAAAGACGGTTACCCTGACGGTGGAATATCCGCGGGAAGCGCCATGATGCAGTGGCGGAAGGGACAACTGAAATTGATTCGCCCAAGGAGCAGGAACTGGGGACTCTGTAGAAGCCATTTACGAAAGGGTATCTCGCTTTTTGGAATAATCGTACATCTATTAGAACCGACCGCTCTCTCTTCGGTGTTTATCGGGTTGGAACTGAGCCCATCTTTGAGAAACAGCAGCAGCAGGCACACTCATTCTCTTGTCCGGGCTTGACCCTCGTTTTTCTGGACTCGTTACCCTATTCTCACGAGAAAATTGGGCAGACGCACTTTTCCGGAGAGGGGAGGCAGCATGGGAGTATACACCAAGACTTCCGCCCTCACCACCAGTGGCTGTTGGTCGAAAATTTGGTTGCCGCATTCCGATCAGAGGTCTCACAGCTGTGCCGGGGTTGGCATTGTGAATTGGTGAACGGAAATCCGGGGTGGTTGTTCGTTGTCGGAGATTGGAGCCAGGTATCGCTGTATCGGGATCTGTATACTGCGTGTAATTGGGGTTTGGATTCGGTCTGAACCCGCGATTGATCACCACCATTGGTTTGTAGACGTCGACCTTGTTGTACCTCTCATCACGAGCTGGGCTGTATGAGGCTTGCTCACTGAACTGAGTGCCTACGTCTCGGTACAGTGGCTGAGTCCGTGGTCTGACATATTTTGTATCGTACTCATGCAATACTTCTTTGGAGATCAAGGCTGAATCTTTGACCTGAGCGGAGTAGCTTGACTGGAGGAAGATGAGCTGCGCGGAGAGGAGCAGTGCGACGAACATGGCAGTCGCAATTGTGACGCTAGGTCGAGGGTCAGAAGACAGAGTGGGTAGGAAAAGCCAGTAAACAAGGATGTGGCCAGGACTGAAGTAACAGAACAAGCGTAGGGATATTGGTAAGGGGTCCCAGATGGCGACTTCCCAGACGTCTCTTGTTGGATCAGGATGTGCTCTTGACTGTGCTGTCTCTGTTCCAATGATACGCGAAAGAAACTGTAAGGGAGACGAGGAAACTGGGGAGGAATCGACTCGGACTCGTTTGGCGGAAGGGGTGCTCGGGACGTCGTCGACGGATGTTTCGAACAGCCGGTAATGCCTTTTCCGCCAGAAGGTGTAGGTAGCATTGACGGCGCAGAACAGCGTTAAGAAGTGGACAATGAAGGTAGCCTGCGACACTTTCAGATTCGGGCTGGTCTTTGACGGTCACGACAGCTCTTACCAGCCAGGTTGTCCACGCCACTCCCGGCACATCGCCAAACACATCATCATAACTGGTCGTTTGGGATTTGGAATTGGCTCTCGCGATGACAAAGATGACATTCAACGCAATACCAATTGGTGCAGCCCATTCCTTCTCAAGTTGATCCCAGCCATTGGACTCAAGTTCCTCTGACAGCCACAGGAGGAAATCGTAGGGGTTGAGGTAGCCCTTGATGCGCTCTGTGAGAGGCTGACGCCTCACAAACTTGGGCATCCTTTAGGTGAAGCAGAGTGTGACGCACGCCCCGAACACATTCTCCTGCAGAATCGCAGGCAGAATGATGCGATCGCAGAGTCTCAATTTGAATGCCACTGAGCGAAGATGAAATTTGGGGAGCAGTGGTGGAAGACCAGCGTAAACAATGACGAAATGCAGCCAATCGGAGACGTCACTGGCCCGCCGATGCGCTACGCGAGCTGCGTTGGGGTACGAGCTGGTATATGACTGACTGCACCTCCTTCACTTCTCGGGAGAAGCTTCAGCCAGCTTCATTCGATTTCCAAAGCTCAGGCTCCAACATTTCGCAACAATGGCAGCGCCAGCGTCAGCATACAAGGTACCCACGCTGCTCTTGTCACTAGATAATCTACTTATGATAACTGTCTAGGACCGGCAATTCATTGCTGTCATTGGGGACGAAGAGTAAGTCCCCCGCCGACTGCCAAACGGCTGACCCTCTCGACTCACCCGCATGTTCCAGCTCAGTCACTGGCCTATTGCTTGCAGGCATTGGGCATATCACCGACCCCCCCGACTCACAGAAGAACTTTCTCGTGTGCGATGCAAAGACCGAGAAGCCCCAAATCGAGCAAGCATTCAACAGATTTACGAAAGAGCGGAAAGATATTGGAATCGTTTTAATAAATCAACATGTGTGGCAAGGCTACAGATCCAAGGCTGAAGTGGGATGCTGATCTTGCTATAGATTGCCGAGCAAATTCGAGACACTGTCGACAGATTCCAAGATCCGTTCCCTGCTGTCCTCGAAATTCCAAGCAAAGATCACCCTTATGACCCGGAGAAGGACAGTGTACTACGGCGGGTAAGGAGACTGTTCGGCGAATGAGTCAGGCATGCATACATACATACACACAGAGCTACCATTGTACAATCCGTTGTCGGCAACGATGTCTCCCAGAATTGGGTGAATGGCCAAGCAAGCCGAAAGACGTATCTGTCCTCCAGGCCCCATTTTATACGGGTATCTCTAATAGCTTTACGGGCCACGACTATTCGATGAGGATTATGATTGCCAGCAATTGAACGGGGTCATGAGAATAGCATCCGTCAAGTTGTTGAAGGGGCACCGTTCGACGTCGCGGAACCGGTCAATACAAAGAAGATGCCTTCCTTACAAGCTCTCGGACCATTCATTCCTTCACTCCAATTCTTCACTCCAATTCTTGAACACATTTGAAGATGTCCATCTGTTACTCACACAGTTACAGGATTCTCACACATCTTCTGCAGGGCGGAGAGAGCCTGCAATTACTGTCCTTCAGACTGCTATCCGGGCAAACGTTGAGCCGATGTCCTGACGCACCCCAACCAGGCATCATCCATCACCCATGAGACACGTTCATTTCGCTTTCTTGTCTTGGCGAAAAAAAAAGGGAGCGCGCAAACGATGTTCAGGGCACACCTTTTCCCTACACAACTGCCCACAAAAATTGCAAAAAACTCAGCTTGTGAGAAAACCCAGTCAAGGGTTTTTTTGGTTTCGCATTCAGTTAGCTGGGCGATGAGTTGCTCCCACCTATAGCTTATCCTAGACCAGAGCTCCTGCGCATTTTCGGGGAACCACTATGAGCATATCCGAAGTCATCATATCATCCGAATTAGGGAGTTACAAAGTAGAGCTCCTACGTTTCAATGATCCTTGGCTATTCACTTCTGGCTGCGAGTTAGGGAGATGAGGATGAGACTGTGGACGAGACTTATTTCCAAATCACTTTGCAGGTCGAATGTTGACTGGAATTTGGCGACACAAATATATATTGTGAGTTATTGTCCTCAGTGATATCAAGTGGGTCCTGCGCCTTGCTGGGGGAGTACGCTGGTGATCGAATCCAACGTACAGGGGCTGACTTCAACGGACAAAGAACGAGGCGGCTGCCGGTGGTCCAATCTGCACTATGAACAGATGCCACGAGTAATACGGCTCTTACCAAGCTCGACGAGAAACCGGGTTGTGACATGCACCATCCTCCGGGGAAAATGTAGATTTCCCATATCATGAAACCTGCCAGACGGTTCACGTTCTCTCAATGGCTGGGGATGCTTTAGCCACGCCAGGGCCGGGGAGAAACAGTCACGGTCTCCTGGGCTGAAGCCACAGCGAGCATAAACCCAGTAGGGAGGAGTGTATTATCAGTGTCAACTTGTCTCGGGGTCCTCTCGTATGTATCTCTGGCAAACGAGGGTCAAAAGCGCTTTTGGTCAATGGGTCTTCGCATTCTTCGGCAACAAGCCACATAACTCTGGTCATCCCAAGCAAGAGACTTGACTGTTGATAACCAGATCGGTGATATGTGCTTGTTCTGGTCTAGATAGCGGAAGGCAGCGACTACAAGAACAATACGATCCCAGCAGATTCAGCGATACGGGGCAGATTAGTTCATCCAGGAAATCCACCTTGCAACGAACAACTACGGTGTTTGCAGTTAACGACAGAAACCTGAGGAATCTACGCGAGAAATCCTCATCTTCGGGCTGCTGCGAATATGGGAAGGATAACGGACGTCAATGCGTACGATGCCACAGCTACGTTACTCACCCAGCACAGATCACGAAATGGAGTTGCGTGGAAGTGCCTGCCCAAGGCTTTCGCGAGATCAGCTGCTGGGCAATGCGCATGACGCAGGCGGAGGATCAAATGGAATCAAATGGGAGTTTGATAATCAAGTCTCCCCCGCTTGCAGGCGTCCCCAGTAGTGGACCTGCTCAAGGCTCACAACGTATGATAATTGAGACTACGAATGGGACAACTGGCAACGAAGTTGAAAGATCGGTGTATTTATTGGAACTCGCCCACTGAGTCGACACAACCGGACAAGGCTGCACTCCTTTGCGCTCCCACGGGCTGTGCTTTCCGCATCTGGCATAAACTGCAGGGTGGGGGGAGCTCAGTGTTGCACCGCTAAACAATGCATTGAGTCCGCCACGCAACTGGTATGACTCTTCATAACTTGGCAAGGTGTCGGTCTTTTCCAGGACCTGCTGAAATTATCTTCTCTTCTGCGATATACAAACAGTGTGTGCGATATATTGACTTCGCCCAAAGCCAATACCTCTCCCCTAGTACGACAGACCGAGGACATGGAATGTGCCGATCAGCCTCGAGGAAATGGCAACAATCTCACACGTAGAAGACGGAAAAGTCGAAATCTCGACGGCCAGGCTCCTTCTGCGAGGTGCAAGAGCAACCACCGCTGACGAAGCAGCCCTGTACGAGGCATTTTCGGATCCCGAGGTGATGAAGTACATGTAAGTTGTGTCACTACTGTCCGGTGTGGTCACAAATTTCCCTGGAACGTTCTCGCATAACAATCTTTGTGAAGGGGCTCGATACCACACACCTGCCTTACTTCCACAGCAAGATGGCTTTCAACCATGCTCGGCTCTCCGCATAACGGCGTCACGGACTTCATCATCACACTCACGACCCCGGCTGCAGGTTGTCCTGTGGCCGTCGGCAAGATCGGCGTTTGGAAAGACCAGGAGATCGGATTCTTCCTGGCTCGCAAATACTGGGGTAGAGGCATCGCGCAAGAAGCACTTAATGCCGTGATCCCGTACTTCTTCGGCGAGGTAGAAATGAGCGAGATCACGGCAGATGTAGATCCAGACAACGAGTCGTGCATTGGGTTATTGAAAAAGGCCGGGTTTGTGGTGAAAGGATTCGAGGAGAGAACATACAAGGTGGGGGAGAAGTGGTGTGACAGTCTGTACATGATGTTAGAGAAGAAGGCATGGCAAGAAAAAGGCTGATCCAGTAGCCCTCGTCGATTATGCCGTCGACAATCCAATTACGCATGGATGGCTCTCTGCACCATTTCTTCAACAGAGAGGGGAATGTCTTGGATCTGATCTCCGTGCGTCTTGAGGCTGAAGCAGAACATTGGGATCCGTCAAACCTCAGGCAGTGTTTGCAATATCTTTGCTTGCTCTAAGTTCTGCCAGTCCGACCTAAGAATGATGAGTGTGACGATGCCATAAAATCATTCTTTTTTCAATCCGCCGGATTCTGACGAGTGTTTTTAAGGGTGGTCGGTGGAGACGATGCCCGGCACTGACCGTGGGACAAATATGCTCTCAAAGTTGTGCAGGCCTGCATCGCGATTCATTGCAATCTCAAGAGAAGCATGCAGCCACCCCTGTACGGGCCAGAAGGACAATGTTAGGATGATATTCCTAAGAGATGGATTTGAAGCACCAGCCAGTCTCAAACTGTGTCCGTTCGTTTTCCACACCCCCGTTTCATACCCCCGTAGGCACGAGAGAGATGGTCGTTCGCTCACTACATTGTCAACGTTCCTCGTAGTGGTTCGAATGGCTGCATCAGCATTCAAAATCACGTATTGAGAAAGCTCACCTCGCGCTCTCAATCTGACATAGTGCCATGGCGACGACATCGTCTTTCGAGGCGCGATGAAGACCGCGGAGGAAGCAGCAACTGTCCATGAAGGCAACGTGAGATTGCCTGAGGTGCATGGTGGTCCGAATGCGCATAATCTGACCCTAAATTACCTGCCGTCTTATTGGCCACATCGCCAGACTGCGCTTTTGTATCATCCCCGCAGCCGTACCGCATCTTCGAAGCTCAAAGCTCATTTTCCAGCACTGCACGACGACATTGAACTTCTTTCCCCAGCTTGAAAACCACCAGCCTCAGCACCTCGACTTCGTTGCGCTCGATCTTCCTCCACGAAGGGCAAGATGCCTTCCTACGAACACTTTCAAAGCTCCGGCCGGACGCCTCTGCGTGTCTACAACAAGCAGCCAACATACGAGACCTACGTTTCACCCTATGGACCAAAGTACGTTCATTTCGCCCTCTGCTCTACTCCCCCTTGGCGATGCTTCTCGCTGGTCCGGAGCTAAATTGGATGCTTGCAGAACTAAACACGTCCCCAATTTCATGGGCCTGAGCATGGGCAAAGCCCTCCGTTTCGGCTATATCGCTTCGGGTTTCGGCGTTGCGGCAGGTGTCTTTGCAGTCTTTTTCTTCGGCGAAGTTCCCCGCGTGAGGCAAGATATTCTGTCCAAGCTTCCCGTCATCGGCAACTACTGGATCAGGGAGGTGCCGCCGGAGGATAACCCCTTCTAGGGGATTTATGCTGTGAAGGAGTGGGGAGCTTGGGAACAAGGAGTTGCAGCAGAGAGAGGAGGTGGGCTAAAGATATGGCGAGAGCAATTGGGGATGATTGTACATATTAGATTGCAGAGGGACGGTTGCATGCAGCGACTGGACGGAACGTCTAGGTTAAAGAACGCCCGTCCGGGGGAGGGAAGACCCATCAAGACCATGCGATAAAATCAATGAAAGGCTTTGTTTTCACGGCTTGCATCAACCACTATCAGATGTGGAATGACAGTATATCAATGCTGTAAATTCCGTTTCCGTTTCCGTTTTCCGGATTGTATGTACAACTTCGGAGACCCTCAAGTAATATGCGATGAGAGACACTAGGTTCTTTCGCCGCGTTCAAAGTACACCCATTGACCTGTGGGGGTCTTTTCTTCCAGATCTTCCCATCTAAAAGTTGTTAGCAAGTACAAGACGGGAAAACGGGAGTGATAGAGACGCTAGGGAAGACGTACACTTGATGTCGCAGCATCTCATCCACCAGTTCCAGCTCTCCTTCGGCAACCTGGATGACTTCTTCAATCAAGCCAGCACCAATCTTTTGCTCGATCCCCTCGATCCTACATTCGATTAGCAACGGCATACCAGGCTCGAGCTTGGAAACGGAAACGTACTGCTCTCTCGTCAACGGTGGTTCCACCTCCAGATCCTCTACGGTCGGCGGAATCCCTTCCTTGTCCTCGAGATCCTTTTCTCGCACTTCATCACTGACGGCTCTCGCTTTCGTCTCTGCCTGGGCCATCGTGTTTGGTCCCTCATATTTCGCATCCCGTCTCGTGATCTTGCCATCCCAATTGTCCACTGGTTCCACATGCAGCTTCTCGCTACCAAATGAGCCATCTTCGTTCAAGAATTTGCTGAAAGCTTTCGGACTAGCTTCGATCTGCTTGCGCACCCGTTCCAGCCATTGTTCGTGTCCTTCTGGCTTTACTGCCTCGATGATCTCCAGGCGCTGTTTTGTGAGAGCCTCGGTGGATTGCCGGTAAACGGAGCTTTTGGGCAGTTGGGCGAGCTTATTGAGGGTTTGCCGGTAGGTGTAGATGAGGGCAGGACGAGGGGACGGGTGTGTTGTGAGACCAGTGAGGCCTGTGGGGGAATTGGCTTCGAGGTATTTCGAGGCTGATCTGACAGTCGCGAAAAGCCGCGACGTCGCTCGCATCGTGAAAGAGAGGAGAAGGGGTAGCTATGCGAAGAAGAATAGTTGCTTCACGATGTCGCCCAACGTGGCTGTTTCGCTGCGAATGTATTGAGCTTAAAGCTTCGATTGTTCATTGACGTCGAGAAGCGTTCGCACGCGTAGCAGCTCGTGGTTCAGTGCCTATCCGTAGCTGGGCTTACGGTGGACTGCTGGTGAAACTGATGCAAACTATCACAGCGCCCTCGGATTTTGTTGCCGGAAGTTGCGGGCTTGTGGCCCCCCTAGCTTCGATCTGCGGTGCACAACCATGCCCGCCACAATCGATCCACATACATCAGGTACGCTATGTGACTTGAGCGGGATCCTAAGCATCTTGGGCGTTCCAGACCCGGGACAGAGTTCTCTCATGGCCCTTGTAACGGGCTCACCCTGCGCTCTCCTGCGCTGCGTTGGTAGCGAGGAACATTGCTCAATGTTTTGTCACTGCGCTTTTCTTTCAAGTGGGGCGGCCTACTTGGTTCTCGAACCCGCTGCACTGCAAGACTTAGAGTATTGACCGTTCTTATCTCACTTCCACGTTGCTCGATCTCTGTTGCCTGCGCTGTACGCTCCCTTTCCTGCGCCTTCCGCTATGGTGACGAGTTGTCTGCCGGCTCTCCTCGGGAGAGAGACTTGAATCTGTGAGGAGCATCAGGAACCCGAGAACAGGAGGACCTCTCATACACGCGGCGCGCCATGGTGGTCACGGCAGAAGGCGGTGCGGCTTTCGCCCAACCGACAGACGGTCAGATGGACGACGCACGGAGGGCTCGAGAGTTCTACCACTACTTTCAACCAGACAATCTCTTCCATCCTCACCTCCGCCGTCGCCCCTCGGTTCTCCATGTCGCCAGCGATGAGGTCCCTAATCTATGCAAGGCGCTCTCTCCCCTGTGCCAATTGACAGCGCTTCGCTTGAAAGTCCGGAAAGCAATGATCAATGTCATGGATCGCGACGTCATGTATTCCCTGAGTGAAGCCACCAAAATCTCCACAGATGAGGGCGAAGAGATCTATGAATTTGTTGAAGATCCTATACTCTTGGACTGCAGCTCAGTACCGCTCAAGGGTAGAATTTGTGATATGACCGTCCGGCTCGACAATAAAGACCAAAACGATGTACCGAAGTTCGTGATCAACGACCTTGCCAAATCCCAGTTCGCCCATATGGAAATCATCTCGGGGCCCCCATACTACAGATTTTATGCAGGCGTGCCGGTCACAACAAGAGACGGGGTCAATATTGGCAGTCTCGCTGTTGTAAGCCTCTCCTCCCTTTCTTTGAGTTCATGTTGTTTAGCTTTCGGCAAAGGCTACAAGACCTGTGATTGCTCTCTCGGATTCATCTGGAACCACGAAGCTAACGCCATGCAATGTAAAGATGGACACCCAACCTCGCCCAAACGGGTTGACCCCTGCCGAGGAGTCGTACCTTGCGTCGACCGCGCAACAGATAATGGTCTTTCTGGAGACCAACCGACAAGCGATAGAAGGACGCCAGTCTCGCCGAATGGCTGAAGGTCTTGAAGCCTTTATTGCCGGTCGCAAAAGTATCCACGGCGAGAAAGCAGGATTCCTCCACAGTCCTCTTTTCAAGAAGAGGTCGAAGTTTGCTTATGGCCTGTCAGTGCCTCTGGAAAATGACCCATCTCCACTACTAAAATCGCCCGGTCAGGCTGAGTCCAGCTCTCGAAATCAGACCACCGTCGCTCTCGAACACGCCGAAGATCTCAGCACATCGGATTCCTCAGATGCGGATGACTTGAATGGCAACTCCGAAACCGACGGTGAGTCAAGGACACACACGAAAACCTTTGCAAGAGCTGCGAATCTGCTGCGAGAATGCCTAGGAGATCTGGGTGAAGAGGGCGCTGTCGCATTTGTGACCGTGGGTGCTCGCTTGCGTAACCCAAATAAAAAGAATGGTAATACTCATGGCCAGGCTATGGGGACAGTCAAGGGAGAGGCTCAGTCGTCGACAAAGTCCTCGTTTATCGCATACTCAACGCTTTCCAATCCAGTCATACCGGAAAAGGGGTTGGATGAGAGGGTGAACGGTCTAGATGGGGATTTGCTGCAGGATCTTATCAAACGATATCCCGGTGGTCGCTTATTCACTCTAGAATGGAACGCATCATCCTCGTCTGAAGATGATATAGAGTCGTCGGGCAGACTCAGGAGCCCCCCAAATCAGTCGCGCATGCACAGTCATCGGAAACAGCTGGAAGTGAGGGCTATCCGCACCGCCTTTCCTTGCGCGGGACAAGTCCTCTTCACGCCTCTGTGGGATGCCACAACTGGATCGTTTGCATATGGTTGCTTCGTCGCGACAGCTTTGGAGACACGATCCTTCAACCCCTCCATTGAATTGCCCTTTCTCAACTCTTTCTGCAGTACACTGATGGGCGAGTGCTCGCGGTTGGACACAATGATTGCCGATAGGCAAAAATCCGACTTCGTCGGCACGATATCTCACGAAATGCGGAGCCCATTACATGGGTTGCTTGCCAGTGTCGAGTTCCTTGCTGAGACAGATCTCTCCGGATTTCAGAGATCTCTTATTTCTACCATTGATTCCTGTGGGCGAACGCTTCTGGATACCATCAACCACGTCCTGGATTTCTCGAAAATCAACTCGTTTCAAAAGCACTGGCAAGCTTCGAATAAGAAACATTCGCACGGATCACGTCGCCATAACTTTTTAGGCCCTGATAATTCTTCCAAGTCTATATCCCACGGCGCTCCTGCACTGCTGCAACTACTTGGCGTTATAGACGTGTCGGCCGTGTTGGAGGAAGTCGTCGATGGTTTGGTTCTTGGTTATACATACACATCTGGATTGGACCTAACGGATATGCCACGAGATGCATCAGGTCGAGCAAGGAGAGGACGGTCCGAAAACCACTGTGTCGACCCTGTGAAGATCACATTGGACGTGCAGAAAGCCGATTGGACGTTCTTAACCCAGCCAGGGGCAGTCCGCCGCATCATCATGAATCTCACCGGAAACGCCATCAAATATACAAGCCGGGGGACGATCAAGGTGCGACTCCAACTGCAGACTTCCCAACAGGAAAAGGGCAACGACGTGATGGTGTTGACGGTGGCGGATACTGGAAAGGGTATCTCGCAGGAGTTCTTATCTACCAAGCTCTTTGTACCATTTGCGCAAGAAAATGCACTGGCCCCAGGAACTGGGCTTGGGTTGAGCATTGTCCGCAGCATCATCCTGATGCTGGGCGGTTCGATTGACGTGAAAAGCAAATTAAACGAAGGGACAACGGTGGAAGTTGTACTACCCATCAAGAGACCTTTGCCGGGGCAGACTTCCACGCAGACCACTCCTTACTCTGACGGTGCCAGCGGCCTGAATTCTACTGGCAGCTCCAATGCCGACAATTCTATTTCTCTGTTGAGAGATGAATGGTCGGAAGCGGCGGTAACGTTCTGGCAGTCGGAACTGGAGCCAGACGGCGACCTCCCACGCATCGTTGAGTCGTATGTGCAGGACTGGTACAATCTTCCATTCCTGGACCAGCAACTTTGTGATAGCTGCGCCGTTGTTATTGCAGAGGAGGAGAACTTGGAACTTTTGCTCAACAGGTTGGTGGCGACGCCTGGGCGACGTCCAGCATTGGTGGTAATGTGCTCGGTTCTGTCCAGGCACAGCGTGGCACTGGTACAGTCACTGGAAGAACGCATTTGCAGTGCTGTGGAATTTGTTTCAGAGCCTTGTGGTCCTCACAAACTGGCTCGCAGCATACGGCTGGCTCTCGAAAAGCAAGCGGCTGTGCGGTCACGATTCTCGCTGGCGGTCAATCAACAAGTCGTACTTCCGAACGTTGATCTTGCAAGCATGACTCCTGGTACAACGGAAACAGAGTCGGTGGTGGAAGACTTGGCTGAGATGGACCTCAACTCGCCTGGTGAGACTGATAACGCCAAGATGGTCCAGGCAACCGAGACTTTCGCTGCGTCCCAAGCGAGCCACAATGCGCAGATGGCGATCCATGATCCCATAACCGCTCTGCGGACGCCGAGAAATCATGTCAGCGAAGGAGAATCCTTCCCCTTCCCTTCGCACAGTCAAGAGAGCTCGAGGATGCGTCGCGAGAGCGATCGATGGTCCATTCACATGAGCCCAAGCAACCCAGCCTCGCCCTATGAAGCACCAAATATTCGCTCAAGGGCTCCCTCTCTACCACAGCCAGCCACTGGCAGAGTAGATCCGCATATTCTCCTGGTGGACGATAATAAAATCAATCTGAAACTGCTCGAAACGTTCTTGAAGACAAAGAGAAAATACGGCCGAATCAAACAAGCAGAGGATGGTCAGCAGGCCGTTGACGCCGTCCAAGCGGCCAAGGAGCCTTTCGACATTATCTTTATGGATATTTCGATGCCAGTGCTGGACGGATTTGAGGCCACCCGTGCCATTCGTCAGTTCGAAGACCTCCGCGGCTGTAAACCTGGTGCCATGATCATCGCCTTGACTGGATTGGCTAGTGCGAGAGACCAAAGTGAGGTTTTCAGCAGCGGATGCGACATATATATGACGAAGCCTGTGAGCTTCAAAGAGGTCGGTAAACTTCTGAACAACTGGGAGGCCCATAAAAATATCGACTCAACTTGAGGCGTATGATTTTCCAGCATGGGCCTTCTCTTCTTGGTGAGAGACGCCAGATGCGTCCCGGGACTTTCGCCTTCCTCCAGGTGGTGGAAGGGGCCTCAACCTCTTCACCCCCTGAGTCTTTTCAGGCGTTCTCAGCTCCACAGGTCCAGCCGCCAGATGTGACTGCCCTTGCCTCAACGCAGATCAAGCTGATGATGCTGGAGGCGGGTGTCACAACGCAGAATAGGTGCCGAAAAAGAAAAATGAGCGTGAAGTCCCAACAGCCTTTTTCCATCTGGGGCAGTGTTCGTCGCTGCAACTAGGCGACAGAGATACTTCTGCTACAAGCAGTTGTCATGTGAGGGATATTCAATGAGCCATTGTATGCGCCACTGTATCGCCCGGACCCAGTGGATTTAATGCCAAGGTGATGGTGCCATCTTGTGCGAACAGACAAACAGAAATTCGTGGTGGATGCGAGCATCGACGGGATCGTGGCCTTCGAACGAGGCTTCAAAGCTATGGGAACTGCAGGCAGACGATTCTCGCAACAGTTGGCTGCATCACTAACCCCCCAAGTGGCTGTCCAAAGCTGCCATAGTGCAATCAAATCCATGATGTCCTACTTTCTCCACATTCTCTGCTTTCAGCATGTATTGCTGGAATGGCTCTGCGCCCGATCCTATATCCGCATGTTGACTGGTGCATTCCATCTACAGTGCACATCTTTGCCATCACGGTTTTTTTTTTATGTATATCTATGTATTGTGGTGAAACCCCACTCGCTCAAGGCAAAACGAATGCAGGATGTACCAGGGATGGCAACAGTACGTGCGCCCAGGCAACGGACAAGCGCAGATCCGAGTTGATCGATTGACCCTAGCCTCTAAGGGAAGAGAAACGAACAGTTGATACACATTGCTCGTACAAGTAAAACTACAAGTAACCCTCCCACGTCTATGTAGCTCTCACGCAGACCGTTCTCATAATCAGGGGCACACCCAGGCATGTTGTACTATAGCAACTTTTCACTCCTTTTGTTTTCAAGAGGTCGCAAAGTTCAGCCCGCCAGCCACCATCCTCAACCTCTTGCCAAAGAACTGCAGGAAGACAATCAAGCAAAAGGCAAATGCGCAGATGGCGGCCTGGATGCCGAAGCTGACTTTGGTGCCCTGCGCGTTCGCCCAGGTGACCTGGAAATAGCTGATGATGAAGCCGCCGGTGGTGCGGCAGAAGTTGACCCACGAGGCGGTCTCGCCCGAGGCCTCGGGGTAGCTGTCCAGGTTGTAGGCGTTCAGGCCGACGGTGGTGACCATGATGCCGAAGACGTAGAGGCCCCAGAAGACCGAGGTCACCATGTAGTGGTAGCCGTCTTCGAGGGCGAAGCCCAGCCCCACGAGGCCGGCGAGCATGAAGGGCGTGGACACCCACATGGCGCGCAGGCGCACCTCGGGCTCGAAGTGGCCCTTGTGCTTGCGGATGTAGCTTGTGGCGATGAAGTCGTGCAGCCAGTGGCCCGTGACCTCGCCTATGAGGGCGGCGACGATGGGAGTGAAGTAGAAGTATCCAATCTGTTTGGGGCCGAAGTTGTAGAGCGGCGTGAGGAAGATGGAGAGGGTGGTGTTGATGCCAACGACCCAGGCGAAGGTGAGGAGATAGTAGAAGCATGAGATGAAGACGGTGGGCTTCAAGATGACTTTGACGGGTCGCATGAGTGCTTGAGAGAGCGTGTTGCGCACATGGCGGGATTTCCATTGCGAAATGCCTAGGAGGCGAGAGACGTGGCTGCCTCGAGGTGGTTGGGAGTCCTGGGGAATTCGGCGATCATAGTAGGTTTCCTCAACGAACAAGATGATCAGGACAAGACAGAGGGAGGTCTGGTGGTGTTGTAAGATGTCAGTGCTGGGCAGGTCTCTGGTAGATGCGATCTTACCTCCGCAACGTACACCCAGAAAGGGACTTGCCAGGGCTGGGTGCTGATAATGAAAGCGGCAAACAATGGGCCGAAATATCTATGGCGACCTGTCAGTCTCTCGACAAAGTTGACTTGAAACTAGCACAGGGACTTACGGGGACAAAATGATAAACGCCGCCCAGATATTGATTTTCCTCGCTCTTTCGTGGAAAAAGAACATGTCATAGATGAACATGAGGCCGCCGCCTTGGGCAACAGTGCTGAAGAAGCCATTCAGGATTCGCGCGGCCATGAAGGACTCGAATGATTTTGCAGCTGCACACCATATCGCTGTCGCTGTGGCGAGCACCATAAAGTAGAACAGCACAGGAAGCCGACCGAAGTAGGCTGACAGCGCCACGACGACAACACCCCCAGCACCCAACATGAAGACGTTGCCGACTTGAGAATGATTGACGTGGTCGGGGGTCATGTTCCAAATTGCGGCTTGCGGAAGCAACGTAACTGCTCCTGTCGCACTGCCATAGTCTGGCAGGAATGCTGTCATGGAGATGATGATCAAGATGATGTGCTTTTTGAAGCGGCTCCAGTTGAGAGGGTCGTTAGGGTCGGCGGAGGGCTGAGGCAAGAGGATCGTATGGCCATCGCGGGCTCGTTTGAGGTTTGCGTGCTCAGGATCGCTGGCGTCGATAACATAGCCTTCTGCGTTCTTGAACTCGTGCAGCTCCGTGACGTTCTCAACAGCTGTAGGCTGGCCAATTTCCTTGTCTTCCGCCATGACTGTCATTGCGACGAACAAGGGAAGAACTATATTGGTATTGCAAAGCACCTGAATGTGTTTTCTTCCACGCCGAATACCTCCAGGAAGCTGGGGAGGAAGAGAGTCAACTCCATCTGGGGAAGCGGACACTTTTTATCAAGAAGGAGAAGCATACTCTCGGGTGGACTCGTGGCCGTTTCTCCAGGCCAGAGCACGACCCGCATATCGTCCATGAAGATGTCCAGACCCGATATGGAGAAAACACTGTGGAGAAGCCATCAAGAATGCCCCGGATAGACGATCATGGGAGTATGTGCGGAATATACCCCACATTGCCCCCATTACTTTTCCGGGGCTGCGAGTAGGAGAAGCATTGCCCAAGACTGGGCCTTGTCGCCCTCGCTTAGCCCTGAAAGGGTGATTCCAATGGAAAGACGACATCGGCAATGGGAAGTATGCGAGCCTGGCCAGCATCCGAACCATAACGATGTGAGTTGATTCGTCTCCATTAGACATGTATGACGAAGCACCAAGGTTTTCTCTCGAGCTTTGTCGTTCCAGTCCGAAAGACCCCATCTCGATACCCGTCATTTCTGATGAATTGACTCGAGGGAAAGTTCTTCCCGTTGGCCTCCTCGATGGCTTATTCAGATCGTAAGCGAGAACTGCTATTAGGAAAGGGCAGCGACATTCTGATTGGGCTAGTCGACGACAATTTGAACCCGACGCATCAATGGTGATCGTGATCGTGCAAAGCATTCGGCCGAAGGAGGCTGTCTAGTTCGGGAGTCGAATATGCCGTCCCTCGGAGGGTATCCCAACTTCCTAAGACGAAGCCGTCTCGCGAACGGACTGATGATTCACGGTAACCGCCTGTTGCTCCAATGTACCCTCTTCGCCGCGGAGTATTCAAAAGACTAGGAGGCCGGATGCCAGTACCTCTTGGCCCGGAAGACGAGCCAGTCGGCTGCAGAATGAAACCTCAGTGAGAAGAAAACCTAACCTCCGTAATGTTGGCAGTCTAATCCTTTACGCATCGACAAATTGGATTAATCCGGCCCAAGTCTCGATTGCTCTGATGAAAAGCCTCGATCCAGGAGATTAAGAGGTTGCGACCTTAACACTCGACGCTCCAGTTGTCTTCGAACCTTGGTCCGAGGTGTCCAATCTCGATTGTGAAGGGCGAGACAAGCCATCCCGTGGAGCGCGTGCACCCGGTAAGCTGCGTGAAAAACCAAAATGTTTATTGATCGCCTGACCTGTGGCACAATAGCCATATCCATGAATCCTGATCCAGAGATGTGTTCACCTCCAACTTTGCGTCGAGGGCCCTTTGGGTTGTTAAACGTTGTCGCTTTCGATGCAGTAGCACAATCTCTGACAGATTTCTCTCCAATGACTACCATACTTCTCTTCTTCCTCCTTGGAACCGAATGCATGTGCTTTGCGTTCAAAAAGGATATCGGCTTTATTCCCAGACATGGGTCGGTAGCGGAAAGGAGTCAATGCAGAGTCGGCCAGTGATAGGCTCATATTGGAAAATGGAAACTGCGTGTTGGGAGCTGGTATCAATGCTGTACGAAATTGACTGCGAGGCCCCTGCCCTCAGGCGACGCAGAGACGCAGAAAGCGGACCAGACACGGTTCTGCATACAAGATGTATATTTCGTACGGTCTTTGTGCACTTTCACCTCCATGATCTTTTTTATTTGAAAGCTGTAGGTACACGAGAGAAGCTTGAACAGGGAGAGGATACTGTACAAGCGGCAATGGGTTAAGTAGAGGCGCAAGATGTAGTGAGCGGTCCAGGAGCGAGAAGGAGAGAAAGCAGTTGTGAGGGAAGAAGTGTATGTGCTCAGTACTGAGATGTTTTCCCGCTCCGCGCCATCTCGGTCTCGGTGAAATGAGCCTCCGAAAGATATCAACATGACAACATCTGACCTTCGATCTTGGTTTTGTCGACAACATGCTCCTCTAGGAGCCTTTTCGATCGGTAGGATGTCACCCCTTCGAGGCCCTTTCGGTCTATGGCCTCGAGGAGGAGCCAGCCTTGGCCCTTCTTCTGTCATCCCCCGTGTTCGTTTCCGTAACTTCCACTCATCTCATCCCACGCAATATCCGCTCTCCCGCCCTCTGCCCAAAGGCACCTGGGACAGCCACATGCACGTTGTGGACCCGACTCGCTTTCCTTTGGCCGCCAATGCACAGTATCAACCGCATCCACATACACTCGCAGATGCCAAAGCCTTTTACTCTCAGTACGGCATCGAGAACATGGTGCTCGTGCAACCGTCAATTTACGGCGACGACAATTCATGTATGCTGGAAGCACTTGAAGAATTGACGCCCAAACATGGGCGCGCCGTGGTAGGCTTGAATCCAGAGACCATCGATGCAAAGACGCTGGAGAAGTGGCATGCCCTTGGCGTGCGAGGAGCCAGGTTGAATCTTGTGAGCGTGGGGAGAGAGATCACCGAGGATGAGCTGCGAGCTGAGCTGAAGAGCTATGCGAAAGTGTTACGGCCCTTCAACTGGGTTCTTCAACTCTACATCCCCTTGAAACTGGCATTGCCACTGGTGAACGTCGTCCCAGACCTAGGGATTAAAATCTGCATTGATCATTTCGGATGGCCTGTTCTTCCGGAACGATTGGATCCATCCACGACCCTTTATCCATACGACATGCAAGGCTTCGCGTCCCTGATGAATCTACTTCAGGATGGTAGGACGTGGGTGAAGCTCTCGGCGCCATATCGACTTTCCAAAGACCCGGAGATGAGAGACTTGGATCCCATTGGCAGGGAGTTGGTCATCAAAGGTGCGGATCGTGTTGTCTATGCGACGGATTGGCCGCATACAAGGTTTGAGAATGTCAACTCAGACCCGTTTATTGAGAAATGCTATGGATGGTGCAATGGCGACGACACATTAATCGAGAAGCTATTTCGAAGCAATGCTGAGAACCTTTGGGATGTGTCCTCGGATATGTAGAGCTTATCCAGCCTTGTTCGACTTGATCCATCTGTCCCAAGTGCTAGGCGTTGGCATGATTGCACCCCTGATTAGCCACGTGTTTTTGGACGTTTGAGACGGGAACCCTTTTCGTAAATGGAGAGATTCTCTATCCACATGCAAGACAAGGCTCCTTAAAGCAACATGTGAGATCGCCTGTCTGCGCAGTCGTTGCATTCGAAAGCTCCACTAGCGGGCTAATTCATTACTAGCAAGTCCCTCAGGCTGTGCCTGGTGCTAAAAGATCCCTTGTAAACGCCTGGCATGAAAGACGCAGCTGAAACAGATAGTTGAACACAATTTTGGATCGTGATAGCTCGACCACCTTCGTAGCCTTCTCAGATGGCAAGCTCAAAATCTTCCTCCTCCATCTGAGTCCAGGTGTAGATCTCTCTAAGGTCTGCTGAAGAAGACGGTACTCTCCATGCATGAGATCTTCTCCTTGTCAACCGTATTGACATCGGCAAGAACAGTGTACTTCCCAGGTGGCTAGAGGAAGTGTTAATAGCTTATCTCTACCAGATAGGTGTTCGTGCAAACTCACCACTTGCTTTGGGATATCGACTTCCTTCTTCAGCGTCATGACACCTTCCTTGAGAGGGCAGGTAATATCAATCTTGGGTAGATTATCACAGAGGTCTGCTTCTTGCTTGATGAGGGTAATGAGCCCATATTTGACTTGAAGGAAGACAGTAGCGCCTGGGTCGATATCTTTTGAAAAGGTTCCATTCGCCGTGATGGTTAATTTTTGGCCTCTAACACATAATATTAGATCGGAGAATTCATTGCTCTTAGGAATTCTGTATGACGTACGGGAGCGGTGGGTTGGGTGACAGGTCAACATAGTCGACGGTGAGGATATAGTCCTTGGGGTCGGCGCAGAACTAGATATTGGTGAGAAGAAGCTCCGCCTTCGATTGCAGACAACTAACATTGAGGGGATTCTTGCCGGGAACCTTGAACTTGGGTTCCTCGTCCACGAGAGCATTCTGTCCGCCAAACAGAGATCGAGAAGATACCGCAGACACGGCGGTAAGGAGCGATAAGAGGATGGCCGAGACCTTCATGGCGACGAATCTGGAGGATCAGAGGGGCCTGCACAAAGAAGAATATATCGTGACCCTCCTAGAGTATAGGTTGCACAAGTGAGTCTGGTGGTGGTCGATATCGCAGAGAAAAAGAGAAGTGACGGCACAACCAAGAGGCTTTTGTCGGCAGGTCGATGGGTGACGGGGATTCGGTGACGAGTGGCGCAGGCGCATGACTTGCTTTCCCCAGGCGTTGCACTGGCCACCGATAGGAGGCAGGTGTGCCGGCGATTATATGAGAATCTTGCGTCACTAGGGCGCGAGGGGCGCAGGAACTACGCTTACCCGCAAAATGCTTCACAGTATTTTGCTACGGAGCATCAAAGGAGTCCCTCGTGGGCAAGTCCGCCAGCGGAAGCAGCAGGGGGCTGCCAAGGACTCCTGATGCAGATCCCCATCGTCTTCTTGTCTATCGCAGACCTGGCCCATTCTCCCACTCCATACTTCAAAGACTTGCAGTCTGGTCTCGTTGAGCGGGCAGACCTTTGTCAATTGTTGCAATTGTACCCCCCACTTTTGATTTGTCTTCACTTCTCACACTCGTTTCCCCATCTCCAAGCAGCGACTGCAAGGCGGTCTTGCGAAATCCCTCAAGTATCTCCCTATCGCCGCTACATCTGCGCCAGTCGAGATACTCGGTTCTTTCCCTGTATAGGTCATTTCCTGGCCAATATACAAAATGAGGCCAGCTTTGCTGGCGTGCGCTGTCGCAGCCTTCTTCTCTACCTCGATCGCGGCGCCGCCAGGGTCACAGAGAGGGAACGCGGTAATAGCAGATGAGGCAGTCCAGGGAGAGACTCCAGCCGACGGAGGAGAGGGCGCGGATTATACTATTTTCAATGGCATCAAGGTGCCGCCGATGAAAGAGATACAAGGCGATGAGTTCGCCGAGACGATAAAAGATGGATATTGGTGGGTCAAACACTACTCACCTTACTGCGGGCACTGCAAAGCAATCGCACCACTCTGGCAGACTCTGTACGAATTCTACGCAACGTCAGATCCTTTACAGGGCATGACAAAGTCCGGCCAGCCCGACCTGTTCTCGCCGAACAGCTTTCATGGATACTACAACTTTCACTTTGCCTCGATAAATTGCATTGCCTTTGGAGATGTTTGTGACAAGAATGGGGTAAGAGCCTGGCCAACGTTCCTGCTGTACAAAGATGGCGAATTTGTCGAAAAATACACTGGAGGCAAATCAATGGAGGATTTCAGCAACTATGTCGAAGAAAAGCTGGAACAGATCAAGCCCGGCTCCAGACCAAGAGAAGGGGTTCGCGTTCCAAAACCTGGCGCAAAAGGTGTCGATAGAACAGCTGAGCCAGAGAAGCCATTGGCCAAAGACAAAGATGTCGCCGCTGGTGTCGCTGCCGGAGAGAAACAGAACAAGGCAGCGGCACTGTCGACTGAGACTACATCGGCAATGTTGGCCTCAGAGACCGCAAGACTCGGAAAGTCTCAGAATGCAAAGACTGGGCCCCAGCCAAACCCAAAGGGCGCCTCCGTCCCTCTCACTCCAGAGTCCTTCCAGAAGCTTGTCACTACTTCTCAAGACCCATGGTTCGTCAAGTTCTACGTTCCATGGTGTTCGCATTGTCAGCATCTTGCTCCAACATGGGCTCAATTGGCGAAGGAAATGGAAGGCAAGCTCAACATTGGAGAGGTCAATTGCGAAGCATCTCCGCGGTTATGCAAGGACGCCAAGGTCAGCGCTTATCCCACCATCTACTTTTTCCGGGGCGGTGAGCGTGTGGAGTATGAAGGCCTTCGTGGTCTAGGTGACCTTCTTTCGTTTGCAAACAAAGCGCTAGACAGCGATGTCAAGTATGTGGACGCCGCTGCATTCAAGGAGATGGAGGAGACGGAAGAAGTAATCTTCGTCTATTTCTTCGACCATGCTACAACGTCTGAAGATTTTGCCGCCCTCGATCGACTGACTCTGAGCCTGATCGGACACGCAAAGATTGTCAAGACAGACTCCGAGATCCTGGCAAACCGGTTTAAGATCTCGACGTGGCCAAGATTACTGGTGTCCCGGGACGGACGACCAAGCTATTTCAACGCCCTTGCTCCAAAGGACATGCGCGACTTCCGACGAGTTCTGACCTGGATGCAGTCGGTTTGGCTACCAATTGTACCTGAACTGAGTGCTTCTAATGCGAAGGAGATCATGAGCGGAAAATACGTGGTGCTTGGCATTCTTTCTCGAGATCGACCGGATGAGTTTCTACAATCCAAGAGGGAATTAAAGAACGCCGCGCTGGAATGGATGGATAAGCAAACACAAGCTTTCCAGCTGGAAAGACAAGAGCTGCGCGACTCGAAGCAATTGCGCATCGAAGAGGCCGAAGATCGCAATGACCAACGGGCCTTACGTCAAGCGAAGAGCAGAGTTATCAGCATCACCGAGGAGACATTCCGGAAGCAGGTTGCGTTTGCCTGGGTGGATGGTGTTTTCTGGGAGAGATGGCTCAGGTCAACTTATGGTGTGGATGTCTCCAAGGGGGAGAGAGTGGTCATTAATGACGAGGACGTAAGTTTTGTCTATCATTGGCGTTGAATATTGATGACCTAACAAGCAACGACAGAACCGACGTTACTGGGATGTGACCGACTCTGGGGCATATATCATGCCCTCTCGCACCTCCATCCTCGAAACGCTACCCCGAATTGTCGCTAACCCGCCAAAGCTCACTCCAAAGTCCACCATCGGTGCCTTTGAGAACGTTTTCTTCCAGATTCGAAATTTTGGCACCTACCATCCGTATCTGTCATTCGGATTGTTGATAATAAGTGTGATCCTGCTATTCTGGGTGTTGAGGAACGGCAGCACCATCAAGAGGACATTGAGTCGGAATAGCTCGGGCTATTTCCACTTGGATGGGAAGGAGGGACTGTTGGGGACAACGAACGGCAAGGCTGATTGAGGTTTTACTGGACATTATGAGAGAATATATTATTCAAGCGGCAGGCGAGGTAGTTCCTACATGTACAGAGCATTGCATTGGCGTTCGGATGGGCTGAAGGTCTAAAGGGGGTCGCTAGAGGCCCAACCTATTGCCAGGAGATTCCGAGTCGATGTTGGCTATCACTAGGTTTCGTGGAACACAAAATTTCCGATTCGATCTGATCATTGGCATCGCTCGACCTCGAACAGCCTGTGTGCGAGTAACTTGGTCGAACCCGGGAGGATGAGCCAGCATAGATTCCCCAGGAGTGAGTGTGAGGAAGGCGGTTAGTCAAAGCCTTACACTCCTGACGTAGTGCAGAAATGCAAGAGGGAGAGGAAGAAGGAAAGGTTTTGGCAATCAAGCTTCGTCCGTGAGGGACTAGGCGACACCTTGAATGTTTTGAATGAGTTTTTTTCTACTCTGCCGTTGCTGCACGTCTGGGGGCGCGCCGTCGCAACTCCACCTACGCCGACAACCTTGATGTCCCAGCTCTCGTAGCAGTATGGCAAATTGCTTCCAGGTGAAATCTAACCGGGGGCATAGGTAGGTGCCGGCGGTGAACGTCTTCTGCGTTTTGGTCTGCGTGAGGCTTTGCTTGACGTTTGACTTCATCCTCGAGGCCGTGGACTTTTGTAGATCGAGATCAGGGATATAACGGAGGGAATGACGCGGTCGGAAGAATGGCGATAGCGCACAATCCCAGTCCCATCACTCCCATTTCACCCGCTCTTGCTCCATCTGTGTGCTCATCGAGTGAAAATCTACTCGCGTCGACCCGGGCGGTCGGTGCCGAAGACTCTCCTTCCGCCGCGCTCTTGAGGAGCCTGCTGGCTCACGGGGACCACGTTGACGGGGATGCTGTCGAAGCCCATGCTCTTCAGCAGGTCCTTGGTGTCGCTGTCCACGTCGAGCTGGCCGGACTCGGTGTTCTGGGTGAAGTCGAGGGCGGAGATCTCGGGCACGTATTGATCCTTGCGCTCGCGCTCTTCTTCTTGCAGCTTGAACGAGATGCCGCGCACGGGGCCCCGTTGGATACGTTTCATCAAGTGCGTCGTGTAGCCTGCAATCTGCATCCAAATGTCAGCGACCACCGTAGAAAAGGACAGTCCGCGTTGCTTGGAAGGGTATTTTCTAAGTCTTTTCGACACGGTGTGTGCGCGTTGACTGTGGGGGAAGGCGTTACCTTGTTGCGAAGGCGCTTCGAGGCGATAATGGCGATTTCATCGCAGATTCGCTTGTTGGTCTCGAAGTCGAGGGTGAGTTTGGGATAGTACCGCTCGATGATGACTTTGGCGGATTTCTTGACGGTCTAGATGCACACCGCACGGGTCAGTGATTGCTGCAAGCTGGTCGTATTGAACCTTCAACTCACCTTCGTGCGAACGCGACCCATCTTGACGGCTGGATTGAAGTGGTCGTGAGGGATGCGAAAGTTGGTAGGCTGTGCGATGACAATCAATCAATTGTGGAAAATGAATTTCTGGAGGATTGATTGTGGCTGCTTGGCAAAAATAACGCCAAGAGATAAGATTTGATCTGCGATTGGAGTCCAATACCGTGCCCTCTGCATCCTTTCGTACTGCGTACCCCGAATTTCTACACGGCATGTGCGTGACTTCTCTTGACCTGAGCTTTATGGTCGAGGACTTATAAGGATTGGTAGGAGAGGAACTCGATTGCACAAGCGAGGTGTACATCTGGAGGCGGCCCTCGTCTTTCGCAGATAACGTCCGGTCCCGGCGCAGATTGACTGTTCAATTCGGACACCCATGCCGTTGTGGGCTATGTTTCGAAGTGGGTGATACTTTAGCGATCCAACGGAGTGCAGAAGATAGCGGATTCGCCGGCTCAGCAAAGCTTGGACGGTACTTTGAACGTGAAAGTGATGTAGACCGGGTACGATTCAGCAACACGAGAGAGAATTATGCCAGCGAAGAGGTGATAACATTTGTCTATACGGAGTACAAGTTTTGTACATCAGGTAAGCTTGCTCGTTTTATACTTCGAGTTCGCCTTCAACAATAAACCGATCTCCTCGTCAATACTCTGACTGGGTGCCGGTGCTGGCCGCTGCCGTCTAATCGGAGACCCCTTGCGGCCAAAGGCCGGCAGCTGAGAAGACAAAGGCCTTGTAGGAGTTGAACTGTCTTTCGGGTTTCGTCTCTCAACGAAGTTGACGGGTACATCGTCCTCCACCACCCAGTCAGGCTGCATCCTGGTTTGGATCTCAACTTTGCCAGCCTGCGAGATGTTGGCGGCAGTTGGAGTGACCACAAGTTTGGGTCCGTCTTTGACCGGTGCCCACTTCCAGTTCTGCTCTGAGATGCCGGGATTTGTGGGTTGCGGAACAACAAATCCAGCCACGCCCACGAAAGGAATGTGCTTGTTGTGAGTTGATTGAATTGATCGAAGGAGACGAGCTGCGACGGGCGAGCGTGTGCCTCTTGGACCAGTGACAGCGTCGTTCGCCGCAAACATCTCCGTCTTAATGTACGACAGGCCTGCAGATGGATGTGTGCGTGGCGGTCCAGACTCCTTGTAAAGATCCGCCGATACGGTATCGCGCCCATATGACCACGGGTCGGTTGTGTCTGACGAGGGCTTCGGGCCATCAGCTAGATCGAAGAAGTCGGCGATCAGGGGGCCAAATTTTCCAGGTTCTGATCGTAAATATCGGAGATGCTCTGTAACTTCCTGCTCTGTGATTTCTGAGGGCGCTTGAGGAGCTGTATCTGCCTGGCCTTCTTCAAGAGCTTTCAACCGCTGGTCAGAAGCTCGCTGCGCTGCCAAATGATTCTTGACCAACTCCCTAAACGCAGCTTTCTGCTCCCTGCTTATGCCTTTCAGGAAAGCATCGAACTCCATGCCATTCAGCCCCGCTAGATATGGTCCAGAGTAGCGCCATCTGCGAGCAGTTTGGGCGGACGGTGAAGTTGCAGAAGGCGTGAGCTGTGGCTGGATTGGGGGTGCTTCAAACCCAGGTCTTGTTGCGTCTGCTCTTTCCTGGGTGATCTTCTCGAGTGCATCTTTGAGATGGTGTGGCATCCGCTTTGCTCGCTCCGATGGACTCTCGTCTAACCACGAGTTGGATGCATTTCCGTCGAGGGTTGGCGCGGGCTTGTCGGCAGTGTGATCTACTTCCGAATCAAAGGCACTCGTTCGTTGTGTATTCAATGTTGACTTCCTATCTCTCGGCGCAGGCAAGACAACTCTAAGGTTCAGCTCCTGGTACTTGCGCAACGTGATGACATGGTCTGCAGCGGATTCGAAGTCGACAACATGTTCGGGGGTGTCGATTCCTCTTTGAAACCGGACAAGAGGTGTGCCAGACTTTGTCGTTGTTTTGATTGGCAGCGGTCTTTTCAAACCCCAGTCTCCTTGATTCAACGATGCTAACGGAGTCTCAAGGGCAGCTCGAGTCGGGTACGGTGTAGTCGCAGAATCAGAGTATGATATGGGTTCTGATGAAGGTTCAATCGCAGGTAGGGATACAGCAGCAGGGATGGCGAAGAGTCTGGAATTGCGGAGCAAGTTTGCTGCTGGTGACAGACGCGCAGCAGTCATCGCTGCAGAGTCTGGCCAGACTTGGACAACGCGGACGTGTCGAGGAGCGGTGATCGAAGCTTTCTGCAGATGGGAAACAATTGCTAAAGTCGCAGTTCAATCGGCACAAATTGTTGCCAAGCCTGGGTTCTACACCAACGCAAGTTGTGCTCTGCAGTAGCGTAAGGCTACGAGGCTGAACTTTTCTTCTGGACCCCATCACGATCCCCCTTCACAACCACCGTCCATCGTGAGAACCCAAGCCAAATCCATACAGAGTTTTAATCAGGTACTTGGGGAAGTCTGCTATTGTGTCGGCCAAGAAGCTCTGCCCATCACCCGGCACATGGGTTGGTAATGAGACGTCATAGTCATCACTGCTCTTGGTCGTCGATACCCAATCTGGGCTGGTGATATTGGTGGAAGCTAACTGACCCTTGAACAGCTCGGTCTTTGACTCTCACCTACTTGTACGTCAAGCAGCTTGAGGACATTTTTTAACCGGCTGACCTCCACCGAACACACGCGTCCCAACCGCAGACTAATTCTGGATACCCATCTGGACACTGGCACCGAGGCAGTTTCGGAAACGGCGCCCACAGGCAATCTGAAAAGCCATTTGAGCCTTCTAGAAGTGCTTCTGAAGGTTCTTTTCCCAGCGAATCGGTTGTTCTTGTGCAACGTGGTCGACGAATCAGGCTCGCATTTACCATAAGCCGCAATCTATATTAAGAATCCCGGTTGCTCCATCACCCCTCATTTACCTCCACAACCGAAGCATATCGCCCTCCATTGCCTGGCCCTTGAACGCACTCGCTTGATGATCCATTGCTTTGGCATTTAAGTAGGGCAAGTGCAGATTTCAAGAATACGGATACGAGCAGCGCATCATTGCAACCATGCTTCCTCGTGCTCTCAAATACCGTTCCACCGACATGCGTCATGCTGGCTGCAGCAATGGTACTGTGCCACTTCCACGGTTACAAAAAGCTGTTCCGTTTCCCAATTATATATTGACTTGAGAGCATTTCTGCACTATTTCCTGGCAGCAAGACTTCATACAAAGACATTTTGCTGAGTCCACCTTGGGTTCCTAAATTCCACCTCCAGCTAACATGGCGGTCTCTTTGCTCTTCTACTTTCTGAGCATAGCTCTTGGGGCCTGGTGCCAAACGGTCGCTTTACCTCCTCCTCCAATTTCCACCAATGTCTTTGTCACAGCGTTCCCTCTAACCGACGCGTCTCGTGTTGACCCGTATGCACCATGCTGCAATCAGCCTCGCCGCTTGATGCTGTCCCTTTTCCAACCAACAAACTGCACCAAGACTCACGGAATCCCGTATATGCCACCTGCAACGGCTGCCTTCCACGATGCCATGTTCGGTTCGTTTGGCATACCAAATGGAACCTTCGAAGCATTCCGTCTCCAAACATGTCCTTCGCCACCCAAAAACACCGACTTTCCCGTGTTGCTCTTCTCCACAGGAGCTGGAAGCTCTCGCCTGACTTACAACGTGCTCTGCCAGTGGGTGGCGTCGATGGGGTTCAACGTTATCTCGATCGATCATACGTACGATGCCGAGATTGTGGAATTTCCGGATGGGACTGTCATTCAGGGTGCCAACATCACCTTGCCGGACGACCTGTCACAAGTTCTGTCACTCAGGGTTGCAGACATCGGCTCTGTGCTGAACGCTTTGGCCAACTCGACCGTCACAAAGCAGCTTGGCATTCCGTCTTTCAAGATCAAGCATGTGGGGATATTTGGGCACTCGCTCGGTGGCGCAACTGCTGCAAATGCAATGCTGGTGAAGCCGAGGCTTGCCAGCGGTCTGAATATGGACGGTAGTGTGTATGGTCCAGCGATGAACAAAACCGACAAAAATCCGTTCACTATTTTTGCGGCCCAAGGGCACAATCAAAGCATTGATGCAACATGGGCTGCCTTTTGGCAGGAGCTGAAAGGCTTGAAACTGCAACTCCAAGTTAACGGTACCGTGCATGGGACATTCACCGACTATCCAATCCTGGCCAAAAGCATCGGGATCAACTCAACTGTCCTTCCAGAGATTGTGGAATTGATCGGGACCATTGATGGAGCCAGGATGATGAATATCCTCCGCAGGTACATCAGCGGATTTTTCCAGGAGACTCTGGAGTCGCAAAAGGTCAGACTCATCGAAGGGCCGAGCTCCCAGTTTCCTGAGGTTTCATTTGTGAACATGTCTCTGAGTTCGCAGGCATGACTGCTGGCAGCACATAGTTCGGTGTCGTGGCGGTGCTTCACTGGGACCGGCCAGATCTCCCCCAGTTCTCTGCCGAGCACACAAACTCAAGTACTCAGTAGTCTCATGAGCGCTAGGTAGAATATCCCTGTGCAAGTTGGAGATGGGGATCGAAGCTTAACGGATGCTGAGAGGATTGGTTCGTAGAGCTTTGGGAAGTGTGTTTATAGTTCTCCCACAGTCTCCATCAAGTGTCATTGCTATCCTCCCAGTCTCCAATCCTCAAGGGCGTGTTACTGTGATTATCATAGTCTTGATCTCAGCCTCGGGGCCTTAAACCACTTCTCTTCTTCACCGACTTTTGCTACAACGGAAGCGGCTAAGTGGTTGAAAGTGAGGCGCCTAGGGGAGTAAGGCGACGACGTCCCTTGCGAATCATGCTGCGTCAATCTTTCTAGCCACTCAGGAGAGGCACCGGGCTTGGTCACAGAGTAGGTTTCAAAAGGAATCGGCAAGAGATGGTCGCTTCCACGGGGCTGTCACCGAAGGCTGCAGCAATTGAATTGCTTCGTCCAGAGGACCATGGCCAACGACGCCGTTGAAAGAAGCTCAGCTTCAAGCTTGAGGCGGGAGTGGTGACAGGTCCAATCAATACCTGGACCCAATGCTCAAGGTTGGGTATCAGGGAACGTGCAACAGGCGGACCGGGTGTGATTTGTGAAACGTTATAGTCGGCACATTTGGGCATCCCGTATCAATTCTCATTTCAACCACTGCATTTCCTACAGAGTTCAGCTCTGCTGCTTTCATGAACAATTAAATCTCGTTGACAAGGGACTTATGAAGAGCTTGCCTTTCGAAAAATGCCCCGCTAACCACTCTCTGCCTCGATGGCTAACTCGACTTTGGACTCCACTCCTCTCTGCGACCTATCTCTATAACACCCCATCTGTGCATACATCCTTGTACCTCAACGGCACTCACTTCTGTCCAAATGCAAGCACACCTCGTCAGGAGACGAGCCTCGAGCCTTTTCAGCCACAATAACAGGCCTCTGCACATCCCTATGCTGCGAGACGTCAAGGCAGCTACTGATACCCTATTCATCAAACGTACCAAGGACCCGCAGAGGACGACGGGAGGAGGTGGCCAGAGCGAACAATGACGCCATGGAGTAAAAACGTGCCGATACCAGATATTGCTGCAGTTTTTGGAGCCTCCGCCTTGCAATATCGTGACTTTGGCTAAGCATAGTCCAAGAAGATTCATTAGAGAAAAGGAGACCAGCATGAAGAAGGCGCTATTTGCAACGTTTTTGGCTACCAGACCGCCGCTGCCTATTATCGACCTGGGCGAGGATGGCGAGGCGTATTTCCAAAGCCAGAGAACAGGTCCAGCAACCCGTATTCCGGACAGCACGGTTCTGGTGAGAGAGCCTCGAGTATGCCTTCTGGTCAGCCGGGAAGACACCCTACACAGAAGGCAGCAAACTCGAAGTCGGTCCGTCCAATGCGTCCGTGCGGTGGCCGCAATGTGGCGCAAAATGCAAGCACCGGTGGGGGCATACAGAACTTGAGCCGCCTGATGGATTAGCATGCGCTGCCAGGCAAGAGAGAGTCCTCTTCTGCTGCGATGATTTCATTCGACTTCATATGGGACATCGGCTGTGCATGTCAAAGGGCGCGGTGTGCGTGGGCAATGGTATGCTCGATGCCTCTGGGCTCGTCTTCCTGCACGCCAACGGATATGGTGCTCTTTCCAGTGGTTATTGGCACTACCACGCCTTCACCTTTGGACTCAGCACGGACCGTCCACGGAACCCGGGAAGAAAGCACCAATGAATCCCTCGATTACTGCAAAGTCGGCCGGGAGCGGAGGGACCTGGTCCTTTGCGCAAGATCCTCTAAGTTGGGTCCAGGACTCAACAGCACTAGTGCTGGCGGCGACAAGCGGCCTACTGATCCCTGTACGCAGCAGGGGGGCGATGAAACGGCCTCAGTGAGTACATATGCAGCCCGGCACACGATAGTTACACGGAACGCCCACTAAAGACACGACCTACGAAATGAGCACTGAGCCGCAAGAGTACCCAGGGTAGCCAAATGCCCGGGTTTCCTGCATATTCGTATCTCAATGGTGATCATTTCGTTGATGTTCGGCTTCCTTCTCACCAAGTCGTTGGGCACTGGCGACTAGAAGCAGCCATGATGCTGCCTCGAGTTCGACACTGCTTCCCACCATTGAAATAATGTCACGGAGGCAATGCCGCGCTGTGGCTGATGCTCACTCATCGGTTATAGTGTTTAGACTGGCAACCGAGCACTCACCGGTTAGTAGCAAAAGCTTGAAATGGCTGACACCAGAGGGGGCATCCAATTCTATCCACTCGGAGGGAAGTTGGCCTTCATATCAGGGGGCCCCAGAGTTGTTATGATTCGTGTTCGTGCTTGTACGCGCCAGGCAGCATCCACGGTTACGACGAGACTGTGAACAAGTCAATGACAATGTGCTGAGACGCTGAGCATTATAGTCTTGTCTCGATGGCAGTGTTTTCTAGTTGGGCATTGATCGCCCAAGCCGAGACCAATTGTTTTCATCTCAGAACAATCACTGTTGCATGTTGCGAGGTAGGATAGGACTTTGCAAACAACTGCTTCTCCAGAAGACGCCATCCCTTCCACTTCCTGGCATATCTAGAGGACGCACAGCCCGACAACACGAGGACATGGAAAGCAGCTCTTCTGTGTACCTGGCCAACAGTGAACACTGCCTCCTTGAGAGGATGCAGCTGTTTTCCCACATATAGCCTTGGGATATCCAAGGATCTCGTTTTATCAACCCGTCCGCTTTGCCTTCTTGCCTTCTTATCGTATCTGCCATTCCTCTTTCCCACAACCATCAGAGCTATCTCGGCCAAAAACACCCGCTCAAGATGGCAACTAGCCTTGCGCACCTATCCTTGACAAGACTCCCGCCAACTCCACCTCGGGAGGACAAAAGCTTTTCAGGTCTTGCTCAACTAGCCATCCTACGAGGCTCGCATGCCTTTGCCTTTGTGGCATGCCTATCCCTTTTTGTCCTTGTCTCGGCTACAAACATTTTCAGCTATGTGATTCTCGCCTTATGCCTGCAACTTTGTCCTAGGAGTCGGGAGAGACAGCATAGGTTAATACTCCGGCTCACCGGCCCGACGAGGATCCAGGTGGTGCTTGAGCAATGGCTCGAGGAATTCCTGCGGACGAATTGGCCGAATCAGCCAAGGTGTCTGATTAGACTCGCTGAGGCAGGTCGAGATGAGTTCAATAAAGAGGAAGAGTCCGGGCCACCTTTGAAGCCTTCACCAAAGCGGTCCTATATCCCAGAAGAACGCCCACAGTTGACCCCTCTCTTTTCCCTGAAGGCGCAACGGGGGCCTCGTGATTACCACTATTCTTGCACTCCGTCGCAAAAATCCAAGAGGCCAAAACGAGATGGAGACAGTTTCCTTTCCAGTTGGAGTGCGGCTGCAGGTGACGATCGTGGTTCATCGATGCTACCACAAGACAAATCAAGACCAGTGCTCCAACCACCATCCCACCATCCCATTCAAGTTACCGGTAGCCTCGCCGCACAGCCATCTCAAAGGTCTCTCTGTAAAGGACGCCCGCCGCGCCCGCCGCATCCCAGCCAGCCTTGTCGCGATCGACTCCCTGCCCCGCCACAAGCGCCACACTTTCCCGCAGTTGCGACGCCACCAAAAGATGAATTATCACAAGCTGCGTCGCACAGAACTGCGACCCAGCCATCTCCCTCAACCGTTCATGCCTCCCCGAAGGTCCACACGTGGCCGAGCCACTCAACGACCACGTCAAAGCAACAAAAGAGTCATACTTTCCCTGGGCCCTCTACCACCAATGCCTCTGAATATAAGCAGTCCCAGCGAGCGGAGCGGGGTCCTACCTTGAGGCGCCCTCGGGCCTCTTTCGGAGCTGGTGGACCCCAGACCACGCGAACTTTGCCTCAATTCGACGTCGAGCCAGATGGAATCATCCACGTCGGAGGAGAAGCTCCGAGAAAGAGAAGAAAAGGGGGCCAGAACTCGCCGCACCCTCAAGGCAATGCTTCGGGTGCACAAGACACCAATGGGAACGAGGAACCTCCGAATCCTTCTTCAGAGGACGAATCCGAGTCTGCCGACGAGGAGCGAGCTCCGAATCGCAACCCACATGGAAAGACAGCATCCGATAGCAAAGGGACAGGACCCTTCTTCCGCTGTCCGATGTATTCTGCTGATCCTCAAAGGTATGGCGATACAAGGTGCAAACACTGGCGTGGTCGCTGCATTGCCGATGTGACTCGACATTCTCTCAAAGATGCGGGGGAAGGATCAGACCAGTGGAACAAGATCAAGGCGTTGTCGTCGAAGAAGCTCACTTCACAAGACCGTTGGAGACGATACTTTATCATTTTCAATGACGAGACTGAGACTTATCAAATGAATCACCCATACTGGGTTAATGGTGATGCGGAAGACAAGGTGACTGATTTCTTGAGGTGCACGATGGACCAAATGAAATCCGATCTGGATTCGACACTGGGTCTGAAAAAGATTGAGCAATACTCCGCAATGCTTGCGGAAAAGAAGCTAAGAGATGCCAGCATTAGACTCCAATGTCAGGAAGAGAAGACAGCTGCAATGAGACGAGAGTTCAAGGCGTTGGAAGACTCTCAATTGACGTTCAAAGCGCAGTTCGAGGAACTTCTCAGCCTCGGGACTTCAGGGACAGCGTCCAATCCCACGGCACCTATCATGGGTCACTTGGACCTGGCGGGAGCGGGACTCGGCATGTCGATGCAACGATCAGGCAGTGGACGAGGCCCAGAAGCCGATATGAGCCACCTTGAAGCACACCTCGTTGATGCTTCGGCGGACCGCAGTGCTTCGATGCTGCCGACAGGACCAGCAGGATTTTCCGGCATGGCCATGCCAGCAGCGACCTTTCCAGGGAATCACTATTTCACATCTCAGCAGCCCGTCAACGAGGTCATAGCAACTACGGAAATGGTCATGGATGGTACTGGTCATCTCAGCACAGCTAATCATTGGCAAACCCCCCAGTTCTACGACCAACAGTCGCCAACATTGCGCCCTCCCCTCTCTCAAATGCAGTTTTCTGACTCTGGCATCGGCTCTTCTATGCCAAGGACCCATCGGCCAATCAGTTCCGCCAACTCTGCAGAGGATAACTCCAACAATTTCGGCATTTATTCCCGTATGACACCGAGCGGTGACACTTCTCCTTCCGGCCAGTGTACTGGTGGTTACACCTTCCGGCCCTTGAATGGGTATGATATACAGCAATTAGGGGTTAGAGGTCAATTTATGAGACAATAGGGATATGCTGAAATGTCGAAGATCCAGCTCGCCCCCCGGCGATTTTGTGCGGGTTAGACTGAATTTGATATGGCTTGCTGTTATGATTGATGGCGGCGGGTTTGTACATTGGCGATGATGTTGTGGAACAGGTTATGTGCTTGGTAAGGCGTTGTCAGCATCGATATTGACATTTGTTAAGGAGGCCCAGCAGCTGTGGCGTCTGTTCAGCGTCATGGGATGGCCCGGGCAAGGCTGGGCAAGGCTGAACTGCCCCCTAATGTGTCGCATGTCTAATTCCCCTTTTGACAACCCATGAACTTCCATTTGTTTTTATTTTTCCACCGCCTGTGCTTGGAGGCTCCTGTAGTCTGGACGGGGAATGCTCACGAGCACGAGTTCAAGCTCGCTTATGGGTGATCTCGGTGGCGGTTGGTATTGCTCCTTGCAGCTATGCTTTCCTCGTCGTCGTTATACCGAGGGGTGTACGGGTATGTGCTAGGGCGTCGCTGTGTACGTGTACCTGGGTAGGTACCTAGGCACATTACTCATAGTATCTTTGGTCGATACCGTGTGCCTCGTTGCAGCTATGTTGTATCACGGCCATTGTGTGCTGACGTGTTTCCTTACTATACTTCATTGCCCAGCAGGTACGTGCCCGCGCGCCCGGTGTCACCGTGACATCTGTCTGTCTGTTGCCATTCTCCCTTGGTACAACCTGTGTATGCACAACGGACCTGCACGTGGACGGACCACTGAGGCTGGCTTTCGCCGTCTCCCATGGTCAAGAAGCTGGAGTAGCTGAGCAGTAAGTACTGTAGATGCACCACCCTCGCTTGGATTTCAGGCACGCATGGCCGCAAAAGCTTTACGTCGACCCCAAACGCTACAGACGCATTGTGAGCTGCGATCTGGGAGAGCCGGAGGCGGAAGAATGGCCCTCACGCGCGCTCTCGCTCTTCTCTGTCCCTCTGCTGCTTGCCGGCACTCTCCAATCTCGGGCGCAGTAATGCGAGAGGCGTGATCACCGGGTCTCCTCGTCAACCTGGGCCCCCGGCAGCCAGCAGCTTCAATGTATCGCCTTGCGCCCTCTGACAAATCCCTGGTGCGTGCAGATCGGACGCCCGCGGCAGACGAGCTTCGTGTACAAATATACCCAGCCATCGTGGTTGTTCGCTGCTGGAGAGACATCTCTCTGCCCATCCGTTCCCCACCCCTTGAACTGGCCCCTCCGCCTCAGCATGGCCTACTCAGACGCGACCAGTAGCCAAAAGACGGTGATTGTCGTCAACGGCATCCTCCGCCTCCTCCAACTGACCGTCGGGGCTGTCACCATCGGCCTCTACGCGTGGGAGAAAGGGTACTGGCTGGACAGCGGCATCTCCAGCAAGATCGTGAGTCCTTCTCCTCCCTCAAACCCCCAAGACGCAGAGTCCACACTTTTGACGACTTGACGCTCATTAACCCCGGTTTGTTTGTTTTTTGTTTGGCAGACATTCGAACTCGTCCTCGGCTCCCTGGCCATTGTGACCGGCCTCGCCCTGGGCATCATCCCCTTCAGGATGTCCTACCGCCCCGTCGCGCTGGCCTGGCCGTGGGACCTGGTCATGTTCCTCATGTACTCCGCGGCCTTGGGGTACATGCGCGCCGTCAAGGCGCAACTGTACAGCCAGCGCCTCTTCCGCACCAAGGGCCACTACGACCCGGAAGTGTACCTTGCGCACGCGCTGGCCATGGCGCGCAAGCTGTGGGTGAATCTGGCCGGGATGGGCGTCTTCCTCGGCAGTGCCGGCATGGGCGCGGCGCTGATCTGGATCGGAAGGAGGAATGGGCGCCGCGGCGGCGGCGGGAAACACAGCGCCGTTTGACGGTTGGAGCCGTAAGGGAGTTTTGTTGCGAGAAGGGGGGGAGGGTGTCGTTGTGCTGGTCGAGGGATTTCGCGGGCGCGGGAGACTCTTCGTGATTTCGCGATAGGAGGCAGGCCTCCTGGAGAGGAACTCCTGCGATAATGATGTTTGTGCGTGGCTCGCTCCGGGCCAGATTCATCGCCCTATATGGTAGGTGATAGAGCTGTCTTCGATATGTTTGACTCTTGAGCATAAGCCATTGCCCGAGTCGAAGCCCATTGTTCGAGGCACTTTTGTCTCCAGTTAACCGAAACACAAAAAAAAGAACTTCAATGTCATCCTGTTGAATCCCCAGCGGTCGAAGCTCTTGAGCTTTTAACCCTGTTCATCAATTCCATCTAAAATACGTGCTCGAAATCTAGCAGTGTGGGGGCTCCTAATATACAAATGCCCTTATGATACAAGTCATAAACAAAATCATGATGAGACCCGGACAGGGTGGCCACGGTTCTTCTCACAGCAGCCAGAGCCCAGCACCCGCGACGCCAAACACCAACGCCGCAACCAGCCCGCTCATGCTGTCACGCACGTCGATCATGCCGGCGCTTGAGCCGCTGGCTAGGCTGACGCTTGCGCTCGCGCTCGGACTCGTCTGGACGCTGGCGCTGGGCGAGTCTGTAGTGGTGGGCAGTCCTGCCGTCGTCACTGTCGTTATGGTTGATGGTCCAGCAGGCATCGGGCTATTAGAGTCGCCTCCAGTGGCCGATGCCGTAACAGTGGCGACTGTCATCGTGGTGTTTGATACGAACGCCTGGGTGGAGGTCGAGCTCGAGCTGGGGATAGAAGAAGTTGTAGATGTAGAGTCAGATGTCGATGTAGTCGTAGATGTGGATGTAGAGGTCGTGGTCGTGGTCGTGGTCGTGGTCGTGCTCGAACTCGATGTCGTAGTAGTTGTCGCCGGCTGCGAGGTGTTTTGGACCTCGAACCAATTCGCGGCGACGGGTTGGCCGAGCCCGGCAGCGTCGGCGAACCCAGCCATATCAAAGCCGAGCCGGGCGTCCGAATCTGAGGAGTCAAAGAACGACTGGAATGACGATGGGATGCTGAAATCCTTGGGCTGTGAGTACAGCAGCAGCGTGTACCGATGCGCCTGGTCCCCGGCGGGCGGTGTGGGCGCCATGTACGACACAGCCGGGGCGGAGGTGAAATTCTGGGCATCGCTCCCAAAGTCGGAGAGCACTTCTGATGCTCCGCCCAGGTTGGGCTGATAGTATTGGAGGAACTGCACGCGGGTGTTGGCGTCGTCCGGCGACGTGGCGTCTTGGTCGATCATGAAGAGCATGAAGTCCAGTGTGGAAGACGAGTCTAGTGGCCCGTCGACCGTTGGGGCATCAAGGACGTCTGATATGCATTTAACATCAGACAACTTCCGAGCTCAGGTGTGGGTGCATATCCCAACATAACAAAAGGCAGAATAGAGGGCTACTCACCATCGCGAGAGATCAGCACGCCGGCCGGCTTGACGCTGGTCGAAGAACTCTGGAAATCAACCCGCAGATTCGTCGACACTTGCACCGGAAAGTCTGGAGCAGACTGAGCGCTGGCAATCGTAGCCAGAGCTAACAACAGAAATGAGTGGGAAGCTTTCATATTAACGAGCGACATGACCGCGAACACAGGATTCTCAACGAGCAAGGCTATGCAGATGGAATGGCAGAGCGAAACAAAGGCTGAGTAGGGTTTGGGGGCGTTCATTATGTACTGACTCCTGAGCCTCGAGCCTAGGGCGGTCGATGGAGATCGCTGGTGAAGCACATGGAGATCTTGTGAGAGATTGATTAAGCGTATAAATAAAGTTGCTTTTCGAGACAAAGGCGTGTCAGAGCTCCATGATGGACCGCGCAAGGCTCTGTCACTTCGGCTTGGTCGCAGCCGATGGGACAGGTATCAATGCCTCTCATTGAACGACTTCAGCGCGCTCTGTCGCTGATGGGAGCCGTGATGTGCTTTGGCTTGCCCGGTCACCTCTTTGAAAATAGATTCCTGACAGCAGTAGGCTCGAGGGCCGAATAAAGGGGAGAGGTGGGCACTGCCTTTGGCGAGACGCCCAAATGTCAGAGCCTGAACCAGATCGTGTTTCAGAAATGGGAGGCGACAAAGGCACGAAACACAGGGCGAGATTGGCGTCTGTTTCGGCCCCTGAGGCTGAGGCGGTGATTGTTGTGCACAGCCACAGCCACATCATGACATACTCCGAGCCGACGCAAGAAGAATGAGGCAGGTGCCCATGATAGCGTCAACCGTGTGATGGCCGTCGGTAGCACAGAGGGTAAACACGTACCATGGCGCCGCAGTATTTGACAACCACAGAACCCGTCGGAGGCAATGGACTTGGACAAATGGCCAGACAAATTCTATATGCCGAACTCCGTCTCTATGATACCGGTCTAGCAATAGAAATCGAGATACTCCAGAGTCAGCCTACAATTGCAATGTGCTGGTCAGCTTGTATAGCTTCCCAAGACGGTCTAGGACGCAATTGACCGCAGAACGTTCGCGGGCCTGGCTTGGAAGCAGCCGGACACTCGTCATTGCCGCCGAACCCGACCCGCTCAATGTTGCCCTGTATGCTTCGAGGATTTTGCTGGCGACCTCGTCCAAGACTGCAGCTTCAGTGGGCTGCGCAAAATACCTCATCTGAGGCAGCGCCAGGAACCCCAGCCGAAGCAGTCTTCGCAAATAGTACACGCCGTGCAACTCACGGCTGGTAGACCAGTCTTCTGATACCAAAGGGAATACCATGTCGACGTCGATATTAGGCAACGGCCCGTCTAATTGCCCTTTGGAATACATCTTCAAGACATGGAGGTCGTCACTCAGCCAGGTCAATGCAAGTGACAAATCGTCAAAATCTTCTGGTGTCAATGTGTTTCGCCCGCGGTCCTTGAAGCTGACTGTGCTTAGCAACGGGAATTCCTCGTTGTTGTCGTACACCGAGATAAGATCTTTCAAGGAAACCAATACACTACCCTGAAAATGGAAGTACATGTCCAGAGCGACGGAGCATTCCGCTACTGTATACAACCTCTGCATGAAGGATGAGTAACGTATGTGTGTTAAGCATTCTTGGGGGAGTGAGGAGACGGCGGTGGCGGAAAGGCCAATGTCCAGTCCAAGGACTTTTCGGGCACTCTCAAAAACGCGTTGCATATTTCGGAGTGCAGCTGCTTTCGCGACGCCTTTTGTTGGGACGCACAGCGTATCGATATAAAATGGCACCGGATGATTTTCCTCTGGTAGCATTCGATTGCTCAGATCTTGAAGGTACTCCACTTGACAACGAGGCAAGACATTCTCGTCGCTGGATCCCAGACCATCTGACCTCAGGTGTGAGAATGCCACAAACGCCAAGCTTGCGTCCTTCTCCGATGGAAGCTTCTGTGTCTCCAACTTGAGGCAATGGCGGTGGCCACCGACGGGAGAGAACGTCATCAGATTGAAGTAAGGGTTAGCGACTGTTGTGTCATCCGTGTTGAGATCTACACTTAGCCTATCGCAGCTGCAATTTCCAGACACATGAACTGGGGAATAGCGTTCTTTAAAGTACACGGAAGATCGTCTCCGTTTGAGCTCTGGAGCACCGGTGGTCAGAAAGCTGAGATAGTAACGGAATCGAACGTCTTTCGGCAGAGAGCTAGTTCTGCTCTCGTCCCAGCCAGAGTCGTGTAATAGTTTGTTGACTAACGCGTTGTCCGTCCAGAACGGATATGGTTTAGCTATCGAATATGCAGCTGTCAAACGTAACTGGGGGAGCGTCATATCATACAGGGTCTCGACAAGACACTGTACTGATAATATTGCCAGTTCGGACTGTGATAATTGGCTGGCGCGATTCTGAATCGCACTTGGAGATTTTGTCAAGACGTCTCGGTATATCTGCAGATGTGTCATGGCTCTCTGAAGGAGTTCCACGACTCGCTCATTCTGTCCAGAGTTGTTGGTGGGTCCTTCTGTTCCACCCTTGAAGTGTTCCTTTGAGAGTCTTGTCAGAACATGGGAAACCGGCCCAATGGGAATGGTCGTGACACCATGGGACTCGGTGGAAGCAGGAATAAGCCGTTTCCCCTCGCTGTCTGTGGTGGCCAAGAATTGGGTCAAAGTGCGGGAGAATAGATTGTATAGCGTCGCAATCTCTTCGTCCTTCTGCTCGAGCACGCCATTTCGATGAGTCTCTAATGAGTAGGAGACGGCGAGCGACCCATCGGAGTTGGACAGCTGTGCGGTTATCAGCCCTTCCAGAGACGGCACTTGTAGCCTTTCATGCGATGGGCGGACTGTTATCCTTGGTAAGTAGTCCATGCAGGTATGTCATAGACCCATTATTACTATTCCATTGCAGATTGAGGTTGTGGACAAGAGGTGTCGGTTTGGCTTTGGTCAGCTCCTTGTGGCATGTTGTTAGGTCGACAGGAAAGTTGAACCAAGATCTGCCTGGGCGGCGCCAAGCCTTATGGACGCGACCGAAATACGAGGACCACGTGGCAAGGCTGAGAAACTGCGACACCGCAAACCAAAGCTGCGGCGCATGCAGCTCGAGCTCCAAGAGCCGCAGCCTGAAGTTGTAATCATGACAGACTGGTGAGTTTAATGCGATGAGCTGCTCACTGTTCAGCTCCCAAGATGCTCCTCTACTCTTGTCTCTTCCTCCTGCTGCAACGCGTTGCCTCTCGATCCCTCGACCTTCGTGCCTCTGAAGCTTTGACGAATCTCACCGGGGCCGGGCCTCCCGCCTCCACTTCCTCCAATCCGCGAGTCTTCTTCAAGCAACAGTACGAAAACCCGGCAGAGACGTTTTCCGTCTTACTGCTTATCGGCGGGGACATTGTGCAAAAGGCCATTGCCCAGTTGGTGGGCCATCAGCTACGAGGCTTCTACATTACACCCACAGCATTCAGCTTTGGATGGGTGGCATATGCTTTCAACGCGCTGAACTCGGCGCTCAGCGATGGCTCACTGATGCCTTCTCCAGACATTGTGTGCCGTGTCATTCCATTGGGCAGCGAAGGAGATCGTGAAAATGAATCCTGGGTCATTGGTCGACTAGTCCGTGACCTGGAGATTGATAAACATCTTGAGATGCCTGATGAAGTGGTAGTGGAGACCGACAGTAGCGGCAAGCTGAAAAAGACGAAAAAGAAGTATACGAAGCCTGTTTTCACCTTTCTGACAACCAAGGAAAAGCCCGGGTGTCCCAAGGCTGACAAGATTTGGTGGAGCTTCGTACTGTTCCTGCCCCTACAGTTGTTGATCGCTGCAATTCCCACCATCCTTCCTCAGCGCAATTGGGGAATCCTCTTGATCACAGGAGCGGGATCTTTGCTTGCGATGATCACTGGCTCTCTGCCCCAGTGGATGGAGGAGAAATATGCTTGTCGGAAGGATTCGAGGAGTACTTACGTTTTAACCAGAGGAAATGGCCACCAGCATGTGTTTGTTATCGAAAATGCTCCGCCACCCAAAGGAGGCACCAAGGAGGGTGGACCGAAGAGACCAGGGACCAGCCTCAACATGGAAGACTTGGCCATTCAGTCACCTCGGGCCACTCAGCTGTCCAGATCCACCCTCGTGGTGCTTGCGGTTGCCTGGGTGTTTTTCTTGATCACCGCCGGCGGGATTGAACAGGATACGTGGTACCTGATGGGAGTGGGTGGGCTTGGCATGGTACATAATGTGTATGTTGCCAATGCAGTACGTCAGCCTGCAGCTCATGGTGTTCCTGTGGTGGAAGAGAATCTCGGATCGTGCACGCGCATCAAAGCCGAATCTGGCGAGAAGGTCATGGCTGTCCTGATGAGAGCAGAGAAGTATCGGCCCGGTGTTGGTTTGGCAGTGCTGACGACCTTTTTCCCTGGGCGACTCAGCAAGCAAGAGGCAGAATTATGGGACAAGGCGCGACTGACCCTCGAGCTTCGGCGAGAGGCATTCAAAAGGGGCGAGGATCCGCTTCCTGATCCCTGGACAGTTCCAGGAGAAACCACCACGGTCACCATTACGGACGCACAGAAATCGGTGCAGATTAGCCGGGAACAGGCACAGCCAGCAACCATGCGCCGTAGCTCGACTATCCCGTCGTCTGCCATCTAACTAGGTTGCTATATCGTGGGCGGAATATACAAGCTATATAATATATCTCTAAGTAGTGGCCTGGCATATTGCATTCAGCCATCCACGCATCATCCCAGTCTCAATTCTCAAGCAGCGCAGGGTGTGAAGTTGATCATTGACTCTGAGATATAGTGCGATCCGGAAGACATTTGGTGTGGCTGTCTCGTTCCTCGTTCGCCTCCGCTAGATCGAGCCAGAGATAGTATACGTAGACAGCGCCTTCATATTCCGTCCTGCCCCCGAATCCAAAATACTCCGGCCTTAGATCGCCGAAATCGAAGCCCTCTTCATCATATGCCTTCTCACCGATTCCCAAGAACAGGAGCTTCCCACCTTCGAGATCACCGCCGCCCTTCTTCTTCGTCAGGTCCTGAACAAACCTCCACTCCCTCTGAAACTTCTCCACGAAGTTCGGAAAACTGGTGTCGTTCTCACCGGGGGTGGCAGCGCAGATCCAAATGGCCAGGTCGTTCATCTTCTGGCCGGCAGCAGGTCCCAGCGTCAAGTCCACCTGGGGCTCGTTCTCTCCCCACAAAGGCACGCTGTGGGAGACAATGTAGTCCCGCCTGGGGTAATCCTGCCTGATTTCTCGGCACATGCCCTTGTCGAGATGTGCGTAAAGATCATATCGCGCCCAGCCTCGCCAATCGGCGTGTAACCAGAAGGAGGTGATCTTTTCCCAATTGGCATCGAGCCACTCTTTGATCTCGGGGATGACCTCTGGCACAGTTTGAGCAGTCATTGCCAGGTTATTCGGAACGAGGCCGGTTTTGCTATATGTAAAGCAGAGGCTTGGTGGGAGGAGCGTGCTTTGGAATGAGGAACAGGCTAGATTTTTGGGAGCTGAAAGATGTCCTTTATACCAATGGAGCAGTGTGGCTGAAACATTCCAGCTGAACTTTGTGAGACGGCTGGAGCCACTTCTCCGCTGGAGATCTGCACCGACGTAACACATCGCTCGTGCGCCTCGACTTTAGAAAGGCTTTCGAGACATCCGGAAACGACGAGTTGCATTGTGCATAACATCGTTGCGGAATTATAATGGCAAAGTTGGAAATGTGACATTCTCACTCTTGTTACCGGGAACAATCTGGTGAGGTCTGTGGTGGCAGGATTTCGAGAACTGTTGAAATACTTCGGTACCTCTCTCTATCCAGGATCGAAGGTCACGGGGTGACCGAATGCAAGGAGTTGTAGGTTCGAGTAGAAGGGATAAGGCTCCAGTTGAGCATTCTCTAACTTGTTAACTGGCAGCCAAGCCGCTAGACATCATTCCTTGAAGCCTAGATAAGTATCCAAGTACCTAAAACGGCAGTCCTCGCGTGAGATAGCTGTAAATAGTAGCTACCTTGTCCCATTAATACACTTTCAATCCTCTTTTTCACATAATCAGCGGCATGCCCGTGCCAAAGTGATCAACACCCGGGTTGTATCTCACCCTCGGTGGGCGATCCCCCCTATCTCAGGAGTTTGGCGCCCCATGGGGTCTAGCGGTTCGTCACGGGCATTCGTACATACTCGGCTTAGGCGGTTTGGGAGTACCTATCGAGCTATGTTCTCGCGGTCTCTGTGACTGCGCCTCATCCATTGCTGCCCCGGGGGAATCCCGCCTGGATGGGGATTGGAGACCTAGCATGCTTCTGTCAATACTACTCGTGGGTACTTGGATTCCGTACGGAGGACACGGTACTTAATCAAATGCCCACTCTCCGCAACTCAGTTAGGGAACCCTGCCCCTTCATGTCCTTCTGCCGTGTCTTACCTTGAACATTGGATCAGCCACTGCATTGACGTCAGCGCGCGCCAACGAAGGCAGATTACCTCGTACTGACATCCGATCTAGCCGTCAGGAAAGCAAGTGGCTGTTCAGACAAATTGTCTACAGACATTGTTACGGGAACCAATGGACCACGTCGTCCGGTTTATTGACATGAAGTTGTCGCATATTCTACGCTGCGACCAACACGGGTATTGTCTTCCCCGATTGAGGGACATCTGTCTGCGCAGGGGTTCTCGGACTCCGATGGAGAAGCATTCAGTGTGCTGACCGGGAAGGCATCAAAAGTCTCTTCTTGCTCGCTTCTCGATTGGAGCCTGGAGGCATGCACAACGTGGCATCGGCGAGATGGGATCTGATCTCGCATTGGGGGAGGCCACGTACCTGCGCAGATCCATGCTTCATTGAGAAGCGAAATAGCCAAAAGCTGGGAAGATTGGCACCTTCGCACAGCCTGGTTGCTAACTCGAAGAGGATTGACGGTCTAGGATCAATTAAATGAGGAAGGTACAACTCGTCATATTCGACCCTTTGGCCACGCTCAACGGTATCAAGGAATATATATTGGAGCCTCAACTGGCTCTCGGTACTCTTTGCCGCGGTGCAGCTGCTCCTTCAACAGCTTAATCAACAAGATGGCAACCATGTGGACACGGTTAATACAACTTCTCTACCTTGCCGTAGCAGCGTAAGTTCTGTCGCGTCTCAGTTTTGTCTCCAAGTGGAAGCTGAAAGGAACATTCAGGGCATCGGTGGTTGCATACAGGCCTGTTGCAAAAAGGCAATCGCAAGGTGACTACCCGTTAGTATAGCCCCGATTTCCCTGATAGAGTCCGTTCTCTTTCCTATCTCTTCCTTCTCGACTACCCACACGCAAAATGGAGCTCGATAACACCCGAGTCCTAATTGTCTGACAGCACTCAAAACTTTACCATGCCGATCGATCACTTTCATAACGAATCTCGATATGAACCTCATACCAATGCAACGTTTGAACAGTTCTACTGGCTGGATACAACCAACTATGTCCCCGGGGGCCCGGTCATAATCCTTGCCCTCGGTGAGGATTCGCCTTCATTTGACTTTCAATGGCTTCAGAAGGGTCTTCTCCACGAGATCGCCAATGCTACTGGCGGAGTTGCGGTCCTTTGGGGCCAAAGGTGAGTGGCATGCTCGGTGCTGGAGGCCGGATTTCCCGCTTATCTCGAGACAGGTACTACAGCGGCGGCAATGTGGTTCCCAGTCAACAGTATACCACCGAAAACCTTCGCTTTCATAGCACCGAGCAAGCAATGGCCGACCTCGCCTACTTTGCCGAGAGGGTGACATTCCCGGGGCTCGAAGATCGTAACCTCACCGCCGCTACGACCCCTTGGATTATACTGGGCGGGTCGTACGGTGGAGTTATATCTGCCTTTACCCGTATCCAGTATCCCGATATCTTTTGGGGCGGGCTATCATCTTCGGGAATCACCGTCGCCATCGATGACAATTGGCAATTTTTTGACGTGATACGGCGTTATGGGCCCCCGGAATGTATGAAGAGACAGCAAGAACTGACGAATCTGATGGATAATATCTATGATAGTGGCAACCAGACCGCCTTGTCTGAACTCTACGCCGCCTTCAATGTTTCGGAAGCCTCGCAATATCCCGATCTGGCAGATTTTCTCGGTGGCCTGTTGAGTCCTTGGGACCAAACCTGGAACTACCCGCCGGAGCCGCTGGATGGTAAGTAGTACTGGCTGAAATCACCACCAACCTCCATATCCCAGGTGGAACTAGAACTAATCAGAGTCTCGTTTTGCACAGGACCGGGCTCCTACTGCGACTTCATCACTTCTCAGACCAACGCGACTGTGTCTGATGCGGCCCTCCAGACAGCGGCGCATTCATTGGTTGCATACGCGAACAAGACTGCCACCCCTAATGTCACGGACCTGTACTATCCGCTCCTGAACCTGTTCCTGTATGTGCAAACTCAGTACCAGTTCTGTTCAGGACAGGTGGTGGCCGAGTGTCTCGACGTGGGCTTCCCGAGTCCCTTTCAGTGGCTGGAATGCACAGAGTACGGGTCCTTTGCGACAGGATACACCCCCGGCACACCAGGCCGCCCGGACGCCTTACCGCTGGTCTCCCGCACACAGACACTAGAGTACAGTCTCAATCAGTGTCACTCTACCTACAATATCACGTACAATCCACAGCTCGAGCGGTTCAATAAGTACGGCGGCTTCAACATGTCCTATCCTCGCTTGGCCCTTTCGACCGGTCAGCTCGATTACTATCGCCCACTCACGCCACTAGCAGAGTTCCTCGAGGATGGGAGGACCCCCAACCCGCGCACAAAGAGCAATGGCACGAGCAGCGACCCGGAGATCGTGATCCAGGGCGGGTACCACGAATGGGACTTTCCGGGCCTGCTGCCCAACGAGACGGACTACACGATGCCGGCGGTCGTGCACAGTGCTCAAAGCAGAGAGGTCGAGGCCGTGAAGCTGTGGCTCCAGGCCTGGAATCAGACTCATGCAATCTGATGGCCAAAGGGAGATTTGGGTTTCGAGCGGTCCTTTTTCCTCCTTTGCTAGTTCGACCGGTTTGTCAACCTGCTTCGTGTTGCCTACAGCGCGGAGCTTTGCAAGTGCTTGGGAGAGAAAAGGCTTCTCTATGGTAGTTACTCTGACTTGTTCGCTCTGAGGTGGTCGCCATTTTTTCTCTCTCGATATTTACTCTACTAGACCCAGTTGTATTCCTATTCTTTCTGAAAACATTAGCCTTCTCCGAACCGGCGACCACATCGTTGCTACTGAGTGACTACGGCTTTGTTCCAAGGTGACGTCCATTCTATGTCAGACTCTGCTACTTAGATCCTGAAGAAACCTTGTCGTTGAAACTTGGTGGTTATGCCAGACTTTAACTACCATTAAGTTGCAGTCACGTACGGTACGGCTATATGATTGGAGCGGTCTTACATGTGGATATGTACTACAAGTCTACAAACCTCAACAAATATGCTCGAGTTCCATGTCTGCTGTCTGCTGCGTGCTGCCTGCCACCACGGAATAGTATTTATTTCTCTCTTCCCCCTTTTTTGTTCTCTCTCACATTCTCTCTCTCTCTGAGCTCCCTAGACGTCGTATCCCTTTTCATGCCGAGGTACTGCTGACCCTACCAGCCACTACTACTAACGGAGACAGACACCACTCCCAACGGAGCTGGATCCCTTTACAGTATGGCGTTTTCATCTGTGCCCCCGGCACGGCACCTCACTTTCTCCTTCGACCTCCGTGACGGAACCGACGCCTGGGACGACCCCGAAAATCGAGAGGTCCTCTGCAATATCTTCCCCGGGACGATCGGTATTGGGAGTGATGGGTGGTTCTTGTACCTCGAGGTACGCGCGCTGCCGCCGAAGCCGTGGCCACTGACTGTTGCCGGAATTCCGCTGCACCTCTCCCAAGCGATGATCGGACAGCCGTACTCAATGCCACTAGGAAAGCCGGCGCGTCGGATAAATGGCTCGATCGCTTCGGAACTCAATGGCCTAGACATGGAGGATTGGGAGCCGCTGTTCCACATCATCAAGGGCCACTTTCAAGATCTTGGTGTCCCGATTACAGAGGTGATATACCATGGTAACGTGGTATTCGTCGTCTTAAAGCACCGTGATACTGACTACAGTAAGCTGCCGTGGTGCGCATCGAACATTATGTGTTTTTATATGTTCGAGGATGAAATGGGAAGACCGTCGGCACCATCTACTCGGCGCCTCCTTAACCCTACTCGTGGAGCACCGGGGAGTCCGGACGTTAGCCAGTGCGGTACTCTGCAGCCAGGTTTAAGAGTGGCCTCTTCCTGCCTTCCCGGCTGCAACGAGTTTCTCGCGACCACGTCTGGTGTTCTTGTGAAAGACGCAGTCGGCAGCGAGTTCATGACCGTGGCTACCCGCGGGTTCCCCAGTGAATGTGGCACGCAAGTCTTCCACGCACTCCCTGGTACCGGCAGTGCCATTGGTGAGCTGGTGAAGGAAGGCGCGCACACAGAAGTCGGGCTCGTCAAGTTGCGGGACACGGAAACGTTCTCCAACGTCACGTCCAACAGCGGCCGGGAGCCGACCCAGCTGAAGAAATTGGTTTCCGCCAAAAAGCACCAACGCTGGGATATTGTTTGCCTAGAATCTCCTGACGCAGGCTTCATCGAGGCCCAATATATGTTGCCGTCATTCCAAGCAATCCCTAGGGATGACAACTCACCAGAACAGGACTGGGTCTTTACGACCTGGAGTTACATGGGCCAGGACTCGGCGGCTACTCTCCCTGAAGGGATGTGTGGGAGCGCCCTCTGGAACAAGGACGGAGAGGTCTCTGGCTTCTTCAAATACGCCCTCAAGGACGGGATGATGAAGGATTGGTGCGCCGGGGTGGCGGCCGATGAGCTCATCAATCGAGGGTACACGCTCGTCGATACCAACGAGAGAAAATAAAGATTCTTTGGGGGGTACTGACCAAGTTTCGGTTCGAATACGTCTTATTTCATATGGAAAAGCAGTGCGAGAGATGTTCTGAGCTAATCGAGGAGGGCAGCCATGATGGGATGTGGTGGGGAGGGAGTGTGGTGTGCTCGCGCCATGCTAACGAGCTTTGCCAGGTTGTCCACACGAGGGAGCTCCGACCCGTCAGCTCATTCGATTTCCGTTGAACTGAATTGAGGATAGAGATACAGATTGATTTCTTGATTGATTTGAAGAGAAAGAGGAACAGATATGTGACGGAAGAGGCTGAAAACAGGTGGCAGGTGGGCCGTAGTGCTAAGTGAACTAACAATCTAGCCTAATCGGGCTAGACGAGCCCTTCTCCAGACCCATCGTCTGTGCAATATCCATTCTCACGTTCTGTGTGGTATCAACCAAGGGTCATACTCGTGTGTTACACTGTAGACTCCGCATTCAGTTTCGCAACCCTCTCACGATCCAATACCCTCGTGAACAAAAGTCGGGCGCACCAACAATTTCCCGTCCCAAGGGGCGCACACGCCGCGATCCTTCTGTCTCATCATCGCATCAGTCATGCTCGGCTCAATCACGATATCATAGAGTTGGTATAGCCGCACCAGCGTCAGATGGAGGCTGATGTCCGCCAAATGCTTGCCGATGCAGTTCCTCGGCCCGTAGCTGAACGGCCGGGACATGTTCCGCATCTCGGGCGTCGCTTTCAGCCATCGCTCCGGGATGTATTCGGTGGGGTTGGGGAAGACGCGAGGGTCGCGGGCGGTCGCGTAAGCTGGCGTCGCCACTTGCACGCCGCGGGGGATATAGTGGTCGCCGATGACTTTGCCTGGCGATACGCGCGGAAAGCCAGCGCTGAGTGGACCCCAGATTCGAAGTGTTTCCTGAATGCATGCGTCCAAGTACTCCTATATCAAGTCGAAGAACGTATATTAGCTCACAAGAGTATAGAGTCCGGCGTGGGGTTACTCTCTTACCAGCTTAGAGGTCTCTTCGTACGTCGGTTCATGCTTGGGGTCGGGGAAATGGGTCCGAATCTCATCGATCAGTTTTTTCCTCACGTCTGCTCTCCTGCCAATTTCCCAGATCGTGTACATGGTCGTCACGGCCGTGGTGTCACTCCCCGCCACCAAGAACAGGATGGTGTTTTCGACCAGTTCCGGAAACGTGAGCTTGCTGCCTGTCTCGGGGTCGACCGCGTCAACGAGATTCCTCAGAAAAGTGCCTCGAGCGTAGTCGTTCCCGTTCTTTTCGATCTTGGCGTAGAAGTCGGCGACCGACTCCTCGGCAAACTTGATCAGCCTGTCGAGCCCTTTATAGCCGTCCTGGATCGCCTTTATGGGAACATAGCGTAGCTGAGGAAAGAAGGCCTGCGTGGGGACAACCACCATGAAGGAATCCAGGTCGTCATGGTTCAATGTGCCTTGGCCCGAGACACAGTCGAAGGATTTCCCGAAGCTCAGATACGTCGTGATGTCCAGGTAGTGATCCATTAGTTTTGAGAAGATATCCACCGGCTCTCTCCTCGTGGCGGCAGGGGCGAAGACAACGTCGAGTAGGGTCTTCACTTTCTGGTGAATCATCGGCTCGTCCTGAAGAAGCCCCTTCAACGAGAACGCGTGAGACACCAGGCGCCGCAGGCGGGCGTGTGCCGCTTTGTCCCTCTCATTGAGAATGCTGACCGCGCCAGTGGCACTAAACATATCGTAGAAGACTTTTTCCTTGGGGCATGGGTTCGAGGACTGGCCGTAAATGTCCTGCCACGATTTCATGTCCGAAAAGTAGAGCTCATTTGTCCCCACCCGGACTGGACTGCCGTACTTCTGAAGCATTCGGTGCTGCCATCGCACACGATCCATTTTGAACATCGCTAGCATGGGATACACGGATGTGAATTTGGCGAGGAACGGACCCGGGTATTTTGCCAAGGGATGAAAATAGATGTTATAGACAACCTTTGCGACCACGTACAGCAACGGTAGGGTCCACAAGGCTGTGGACCAGTGGAGGGTCTGCAATTGAATCATGATTGCTGGGACTGCCATTACGAGGCACAAAAGGACGAAAACGTGTCACACACTGCGGTGGGTTAGGCCCTTTTGTTCTCGTGGGGGTGAAAGCACTATATACGCTGGGGTTGACATACTCCAGGTAGAATGGCCAGACACAGTCTGTCGGAACGAGGCGTGAGGGCATGGCCAGACATGGATGTTTGGAGACACCCGGTGAAATCTGGAGAAGGCCCCTGCGAGCTCAGACCCACGCTCTGCTTCGAGCCGATCGCCCATTCGGAGCAAACTCAATGATGTTTTCGGCCCGGAAGAAACTTTAAGGGCATTAGTTGTTTTCTCCAGTCGCCGCTCCGAGGAGAGCTCTCCTCCGGCTGCTGTGTTAGTGAAATTGACACTTGAGATAATGCTTGACGAGTGGTCAGTTCGGGACTTCGGATGGGTGCTCAAGACATCTTCCGTGTGTGACTGCTAATTTCTCGGCCACTTCCTAGCTCTTAAAGCAGCCCTTTCCTCCGTGGAAGCTGCTACGAGTTTCTTCCCCTTAAGTGAGCCCATCTTTGTTAGTTCAGGTGTGAAAGAGGCAGTTTTGTCGACCTCTTTGCCTTTAGTGCTTTCTATCCCCATCCCGTGAAAAGAATATGTGCTCTCTTGATTAAGGAGACACGGCTGGCCTCCAATGTCCCTCCTCTTAAGCAGTGATCAGCGTTGAATCACCAGGGATCTGGCGCGGTCCAATTTCAGTCCAAACCTCAATGGTCAGACTGTTCGTTCAAATCTCTTCAGAAGCGGTAACCACGACGTGGCCTTCGGAAGGAGAATACCGACAGGGACGATGTTTGGCATTTGCCAGAATGCACTTGCGTATAATCGCTACTGGGCAAGCAATCAGCTAAAGGGGTGTTCTTTTTACTGAACAGTAAGAAGCTGCTCATGGGGTTCCCCATCCTGAGACATACCTTGCCCAACCACTTTGATTGGCAAGCCTGCGAGGTCCTCTGCTTTTGCCAGTGTGTTTGACTGTTCTTCCAGAGAACCTAAGCTTACATTGGCGGCAGAAGCAAGCATTCGCAGAGGAGGAAAGGTCGCCAACACCCTTTGCGAGACTCGGGTTCGGACCAAAGTGCCTCACGGATTCCAAGAGTACGGACCTGGCATGTAACTATCTCCTATAGTGCCAGGTTGCCAGATCCCCCACATTTCCAGGTTGAGGTCATCGTTCGTACTCAAATCGAACCACTGGAATACAAAAGATTAGCGATCAAAAACTAACATATCGAATTTCTGGCGATCTCACTTCTTTGTCAACATCGGTTTCCTCAAGCACTGGCTCACATGACGGCTCTAGACTTGGATGTGCAGTGTTGCCTGTCGATTGATTCTCTCGAGGATGCACAAGGGGACCGGGACCTCCACTGCGACCTTCGACTGCATTTCTGGCCAGGGTCGTAGTATCCTTGACAAGCGGTACTGACCACTGAGAATCCGTGGTATACTCCAGGCGAGCGAAATATCCGCTTGCAACTTCCATCAAGTGAAGATCAGACTGAGCCGACGCAACAGAAGGATCGTACAAGATATTGATAAAAATATTGACAATGGCATACAGGGGTGTATAGTACGCAACCCTAGCGGCGAGTCAGTGAACGGTCTCCTGTTGGACTCTCTGAGCAGTCACTCACGGCATAGGACAGCTTGCATCGATGTGGATGAACCGGCAATCGAGTATGGCTGCCCTGGACGTTTCCGCCACAATCAGGCATGATTCCGCAATTTGGCCTTGAAAGTCTGGATGCCGGTCCAGTCCAGTCACGCCCCGAAACCAGGGATGTGCCAACGTTGTGTGGATATCCCACGTTAGATTGTAATAAAGGAATTGTAACGATAAGGCCTGCTGCATGTTGAGGCCGCCTAGCGGGTTTGTCAGGTTCATGGGAAGGTCGAGTTGGCACTGGTCTCGCAGGCTGGCTCGAAGTTCATCGAGCTTCTTCTGAAGCACTACGACATTATTGACCAACTCTTCTGGCGTTTGCCGCCACGCAGCAGCCCTGAAGAGCGCCTGCCGAATCACAGAGGAAAGATGGTTGATTCTAATGCATGCTTGGACATATCTCACGTTGACGGAGCCGTCAGCTCGGTCTGAGGTGGGGAGTCGGCAGTTGATTTCTTCATCATCGATTACCTGTAAAAGGTGAGCTTCCTGCCCGAAAAGTCAACGCATCTTTCGGAGTCAACGAACCGAAGGACGGCCTGCGCGGCATGCGATCTGCTTGTCGAGGCAATAGATGGCCCAAAAGATGCATTGCCACAGAGACTTCTCTTCCTCCGAGAGGTTCCAGGACGGCGCCGGCTGCACGTGCAGTCCCTGCCCACATGCCAGTCGATATGCGTTAGCGACGAGAATGTATTGCAACATTCGACATGAAACAGCCTCTGCAAAATAGGCCTACACTATGTCAGCTCTACGCAGAAATGGTACTGACAGACCAGAATTACCATAAGAGTTAAAGCCTGCACACCCATGACCGAAGCCCGAAAACAAAGGAGCTCCGAGTGCACTGAAAGCGCATTCTCAAAGTACGGCCACGACTGCCGCTGAGCCTCGATGTACGTGCTCTCTCTAGAGAGTAGCGCTCGGCAACCAGAAGCGAAAATGACATTTCGCATAGCATACCAAGATGCGTCATCGTCCGATCTCGAACCGTTATAGAACGCGCGCAGTCTCGACTCGAAGCACGACCGCCGGACGATCCCAAGAGCTGCGTCGGGGGCCCCTTCGAAATAAGCGCTAGTGAACCGGAGGGCGTCCTTCAAATCCGGATCCTCTTTTCGCTCCTTCCCCGGTCTTTTCTCCAGCTTCAGTCGGTGGGCGACATCTTGCGTAAACCGATTGGCGATAGGTCGAAAATCAGGCTGTTTCACTCTTTCTGTGACCCATGCTATCCCGGCCAACGAGCAGATCGACATGCTCGTTCTGGGACCCCAGAATTCAATGTCTTCCTTGAAGGTGTGATAGCCACCCGTGTCCTGGGGGCTGTCCGTAGTGGCTGCTTGATAAGGGCTCTCAAAACGCTCCCAGGGTGCCTCTTTGGAGCCAGACTGCGATGGAAGTTTGGTCATGGGAGGAGACGGACCACTAACCCTCGGATTTCCTGGGTCACATTGCTGGAAGCCAGCCAATTCACCGGCAGCTCTATACCGTTGCCCTGCCTCCGATCCAAATTGACGCTTCTGTCGGGCGACCTCTGAGAGGTCCTCTCGCTGCGAATGTGATACCCTCGTACTGGGGATCTGTGAAAGCTGGTTGCCATCATCATTGCCAGATATCCTTGCTACTTCAAGGAGGCCCTGGAAACGACCAAGGGAGTGAGCCGCCGCACTATCGGGCAAGCCATCATGTTTCCTCTTCCGGCGAGGCTGGCGTGGGGCGAAAGTGCATTCTGCACCGTGTTCCATACAGTGGCTGCATGGAGTGTCGCCAACACATCGAATTTTCTTGGCTCGGCAAATATCGCAGGCCCGAATACGTTTGGGTACACCGGGACCCAGGCGCATGTCCTCCTGTTGCGTGTCCATGGCTGTATACACAACCGATGCAAGTATTGTGGGTGTGTGATAAGGCCGAGGTCGCTTGGAGCCCCAGCACCACCGGCTTGTGCAGCGTACTGTACTCGGTACCTGTCGCAAATACTTTGATCCACCTTTTCCAGAAAATTTTATTCTACCCGCACCTTTTCACTCCTAAGGGATCGTATGCAGTGATCACACGCTGGGCTGGGGTAGTCGGCTGACGAATATGCCCCGGATGAGTTCCAGAACCAGCTGATTGAGCTTTAAGGACGACGCTCTGGAGTATCAGCCCTGAGTTGTGAAGCTGACGTGTAAGCCGGAAGGAATCTGGGGGGGCAGTCTGGGGAAGAAAATGGGGAGAACTTCTGGGGTACCGGTGAAGTGGCGAGCTGCTTTTTACTTTATCTTGCTGGACCCGTTTTGTCTAAACTAAACCGAGGGGATGGCTACGGGCAGCGTACAGGGTATTCGCTTAATGCTTGGTAGAAACAACCTACACCTAATTTAGCTAGTGTCTCTTTCTCCTTACTGGGAATCTCTATTCCTGACCTCGCCGTCGCCTGTTTTGTATGGCCAAGGTTAGTGTTGACCTCTCAGAGATCTAGTCGTTCTATGAGCTACGGAGGAAGCCTTGTGGCATAGACTCAACTAGCCCAGGAGTCCATTTGCAGCCTCGTTTGCCTCTGATACTGCTACTAGGTGCTCCTCACAGGAGGCGCCGTTCATGGTGGTAGTTGATTACCGACGCGGTTTATCTAGCGCTCTAGGCCCAAAGGCTTCGCTAGCTATTGAACAGGCAGGAGCTCAACACTCAAGTTAGCTGGTGGCTACAAAAAGACGATGACGACTGGAATTGACTTGACTCTGATTGGGCTTCGTGGTAACTATTCCTCCTCAGGATAATTAAGCGAATTCGCTGTTGTAGCGAGTACGCTGCCCCGTACCCAGTCATTCCCAAACTGACGAATTAAGGCAGACCAAAAGAGTGAGCTCCGGTGGGCGCTCTGCCATTTGCTGGCTTTGGGTCTTTATCCAGGGCAGGCTGTAATTAGTTATTATTTGGTGATTTCGTGGTTTGTCACCTGTAGGCTGTTGCAATCAGCTGGTTGTTCCAGATGGAATCTCGACTTTGGCCCAGTAGGTTTTAATACCAAGAAGTCGGGGCTTCAAATGTTCTTGGCCCTGCCGAAGCTCCGGCCGAAGCTCCGGTCTCAACTCTCCGGAGGTTCGGGAGAACGAGGTAGGCAAACTTCGGAATGTGTGCTTGCAACTCGCCGTGTGCTAGTCCACCAAGCCAGCCTTTTCAAACTCTCTGGAGAACTTGATCTGGGGTCCAGCCCTCTTTGGGGCCATTCTGGGGTAATAGGCATCAAGGTTTGAAAGTGCTAGGAAGAGCAGAGAATGTGTACTTCGTCTAGGGCTCGCATGCCGCGTGGGATGGTGTCTTTCCGGTGGGAACGGAATGAGGCAACGCAGCCTGCACAACACATCAATCAGAGTTAGTTGCAAATACTCTGACTGCCTGCCCTGCCAACAGCCCTCTTTTCAAACGGCCGTTTCCGTAAAAGCCAGACGGTGGACTCAAGCAACATGTGGCACCAAAGAAAGGAGTGGGCAACAGCTCACCAAAGTGTCGACCTGTATCAGCCGCCAAGTGGTTCCTCGTTGGCCACATGGGTATTCTTGGCCATCATCCTTGGCCTGCTACTTCGGGCACTGCATTTGCATTTCTCGTCACCCCTTTCGAAAGTGCCTGGTCCATTCATTGCCACCTTCAGCAGATGGTGGCTTGCCTACCATGGCTGGCGAGGAGACTTCCATCAGCTCTTAACACGTCTCCATGATCAGTATGGAGACATCGTGCGAATTGGACCTGATGAGGTCATCACCATTTCTCCAGAGGCAGTCAAGAAGATCTATGGTGAGCCAATACTTGCCGATGTTGACACATAGTCATATTAATATTCATCTTTTAAAGGCGCTGGGTCTCAATTTCGCAAGAGCGAATGGTACCGCCCTCAACAAGGCGAGCGAAAATTCGATCTGTTTGCGGAGAGAGATATAGCCATTCATCGCAATCACCGGCGGCTGGTGAACAATGCCTATGCCACCACTTCGTTGATGGAGCTGGAGCCTTACATGGATAGCGCCATCACCCATTTCATGGATACGCTGCATCAGCGCCAAGGGGAGTGCCTAGATCTGGGGCTCTGGCTACAGCTGTTCGCTTTCGGTATATTCGTCGATAAGATATCTGAGAAATCAAACAAAGCTGATGATGATGATGCCAGATGTCATTGGCGAAGTAACCTTCTCCCAGCGCTTCGGCTTGATGGACGCCGGGAAGGAATCGGAGGCTCTGAAGCAGATCAAAAAGGTGCTGAGATCGACGTCCTGGGTCGGCCAAGTGCCGTACGTCTACAGAATTCACCAGCTTTTCGTCCCGATCCTCGGAAACCGCCTGGCGCTCACGGCACGCAATGGGAGCCTGCGCGAGTTCGCCGTCCATCAAGTTCAGTCCCGAGTCCTGCGCGGGAGCGACCACCGAGATATGCTGGGCAGGTTCGTGGAGATCAACAAGGCCAAGCCGGCCGAGTTCGACGAAGCGGCGCTCATTTCCATGACCGCCAGCAACATTGCGGCGGGCAGCGACACCACCGCGATCTCGCTCCGTTCGATGATCTACTACCTGCTCAAGAGCCCCGACTGCATGAAGAAACTGGTCGAAGAGATTGACCAGGCAACAGAGGGGATGCCTCCACATTCCATCGTGACGTACGAGCAGGCGAGCGCGATGCCGTACCTCCAAGCCGTCATGAACGAGGCGATGCGGATTCATTCTATCGTTGGGCACAGCATGCAGCGGGTTGTTCCCAGGGAAGGAATTCAAGTTGGGAAACATTACATCCCTGCCGGCGTAAGTCACGCCCAACTTCAACTTTTGTTCTCCGCTTACAGGCCCAGGTCATAATCGGGACAAGTCCTTATGTGCTGGGTCGATCCGAAGCCATCTACGGACCTGACGCAAAGAGATTCCGTCCCGAAAGGTGGCTCGAAGATGGACAGAAATATGATCTATGTACGGACGGTGCCCTCGTGGCGTCCTCCCGACGTTGCTGACAACATCTCACACAGGGTCGGGTTACTTGGCATTCGGAGGCGCCTCGAGACTGTGTATTGGCAAAAGTAAGTCCACTCTATCGGCTCGCCGTAAGTACCGGATTCCTAAAATGAGTTGCTTCACAGATATTAGCTGGATGGAAATGTCAAAGGTAGACGCGCCAACTCTACAAGCCTTCGCTGAAAGACCAATACTCACTCGGAGACTAGGTACTTGCAACTTTGCTCCGAAATTTTGTGCTAGAACTTGCCGACGCCAATACCGAGTGGGAAGAGGTTTGCTAGTAAGTGACAGTGATAAGTCAAGGTTCGAGGCCAGGGAGCTAATGCGTGCATAGTGTGTTCGTCCACCAGACGGGGCTGAATGTGAGACTGCGTGTCAGAGAATACGCCAAGTAGAGTATCGTCTCATTATCAGCTCGACTTCAGAATTGTCATGCATTTTCTCATGGAAGCGGCGGTTCGGCTTTCCATTTGGCCACGAGAATATCGAGTAGCTGCACGCAAAGAAATTGATGGAGACCTAGGTTTGTCTGTAAAAGGGCGCTACCGAAATCTCGGTAGCAATCTTGTATTCAAAGGCACTGGGGCGAGATCTAGGAGCGGTATAGTTGACTAACGAGAGCCCAAGTTTCAGGTTTTGTCACTGTGTCGTGCACTGGAATAGATTGCCGGAACAGCCCATACAGCAAGCAACTTATTCGGGATTCCCCAGCTTAATGGCTCTGGCCAGCATCGATAGTCCCCCCGCCGAAGCAGGCTATTCAAAATCACCTAGAACGGGAGCTCCAGGATTCTCAGCCGCGCTAATTACCCTGAAAACTCGTTCATGAACGTCAGTAGAATATCGTTGTCGAAGGCATTTTTGCCGTTCCAGAACGCCGCCTGATCCAATTCCGGAATCGAGAAGCCTTGGTTGCCCGAACCCTGATGCTGCAAAACGCCTCCGCCCGTCAGACCGTCGTCGGGGAGAAGACTGTGCCAGCCCGAAAAGTCCGGGGGAAGACAACTCTCTTGCGGGGCCGGTGGAGAGATGGTCACAGGGTGAGAACCTTCCGAGGATGAGCTGGAAGGAGCTCTCGCCCCTGTAGAACTAACTTGATGAATTGATTGATTGTTCTATCTAGTGGGAACGGTCGCACGGCAGTTTGACTTGCCGGCGTGTAAAAACTAGCCGGATAACCTTCCTAATCAGGTTAGGGCAATACCCCCCCACACAAGGCACGAAATCTGCCGTAAAATGAAAAAATCCGCTGTGGCATCGATGTTTAGCCTGTAGTGGCGTGTGTCGCTCGATGGCGTTCACAGCCAAATTTACTAGGCGAAAACATGAGTAAACCACGTAAAACACTGAACTTTTGCCTGATAACTAGGTCGCAGGAACGCCTGTTTTGCAAAGCGTCCTGGCCTGTCCTGATCCACGCGATCTGATTGGCCCGTCTAACCCTGGCAACTCAATGACACTTCGCGCTGTGATTTGGCCTGCTGTAACCATAACAGTGCCCGTTAACTATTCACCTTTTGATGCTGTAAATCGATCGTTCTGTCAATCGATCTGTTCGTCGATCGCCCCATTGACGTCGCTGTCGATCGATCTCGTTCGTGATTCGCTCGCAACCTCGTTGTCGCTTCTATCCTCGTCAGTTCGCGTTCGTTACTCGTTCCAGAGTCGTCATCCCAATCATCTGCCTGAACTTGTCAAACATAACAGGATTCAATGGCTTAGTTAGCCCATCTGCAGCCATCTCCGTTGTTGGTACGAACGAGAACGCCACTGTTCCATCTGCGACCTTTTCGCGTGTGTAATGGTACTGAAATTCGACGTGTCTAGTCCTGCCATGCGTCGATGGTGTTTGCGCCATGGCTAGCGCTGCCTGGTTGTCTCC